AACACCCGCTATGCATGATGACAATTTAAAGTTTAGTCGTATAAACATAGCAACTTTCTTTAATTTTCCAGACATGTTTCGACGGTACATCCGTCATCTTCAGTGTTACATATTTTGAAATCGGCGATCTTACAAAGTTCGTTACATTGCGTTGTCAATATTGCGTACTAAAGCAAAAGGAAAACTAAATTAAAACGGCGATTCAAAATGTGTAACTCTGAAGATGACGGATGTACCGTCGAAACATGTCTGGAAAATTAAAAGAAAGTTGTTATGTTTATACGACTATCTATATTGTTGCTGCTATCTAGACCAATTTAAAATTTGTTTTTAGGGACTTGTCAGAAATTAGCAAGGGGGAGGGGGTGGTGGAAACAGAGGGAGGGTCACAGCTTTTTGAGACTCAGAAAAGGGAGGTGGCATGAAAGATGGGCCGTTAAAAGGGGGAGGGTCATGCAAATATGTGTCCGTGATCATGTGGAGGTTCACCCACAGAAGAAAAAAGAAGGTCTTTATTTTGTAAAAAATCCTGGGAGAAATAGGAGAGTCGAGTGATCAGCTGTCAGAATCAGAGTCGGAATCTTAATGCTGTCATCTAAAATGTAGGTATATAGCATTACAAAGAACTAGATTTTGTCATTTATACAAGAGGGGGAGGGTCATGATATTTTAGGCCAGGGTCAAGGGGAAGATTAGCAAATTTCACTCCCATTGCAGGGATGGGTCACCTCATTTCCGAACCCAAATTTAAAATTCTCACCCCCCCCCCTCCCCCCTGCTAATTTCTGACCAGTCCCTTATCTTACATATTTTCTCTATTTTTCAAACATCCTCATGAAATGATTCACTTTCGTCAAGAAAGTCAGTATAAGATTTTTATGAACAAAAAAAGAGAAAATTTAGAGTCTAACATTTAAAAAAGACCTGTTTTAAGAGAACCAATTTTCCATTGATTTTGATTGTTTTTTTTCTCCGTCTAACCTTTCGAAAGGTTGTCCAAAAAAAACGTGGTTATTTACTGATTACCTTCGATTACATGCTGAAAAGTAAACATTTATCATGTGAAATTCAAAAGGCAAAAGATAAATGAGTAAGGTCGAAGATATTATATTTGTTTACGTAGTTGTTTTGACTGACTGCTTGGTGTATGTCTGGTTGAAAATAATAGACATTCTGGGAAAAATTAAACTTTTACCTTTGTGAAACAGAAATGATATATTATTACATCCACATATTATGCCAGCTTCATCAGCTGGCTCAACCAGACGTTAAGGTTATATCCCAGTTATATTGTACAGTCTTGGTCTTGTACGCTGGTGAACAGCGGATTTCGAGCAAGTCCCCTATACAGTTCTCTATGGTTGGTGTAATTATATAATTAATTTTTGACCCTTCCGGCCATGGCGCTTCCAGTAGCTTAGGTAGCATACGAACTCACTCGGAGAGTCGTGAGTTCAACTCTTATCTGAGCTTTCTTTTGTTGGATTTCTCCTTCTTCTAAATTATACCTCGTGAAGAATTAACACGCCTAACCTTATACACCTAGACTGCTTGCAGTCCTCCTTTTTTCTTACAATCCGTCAGTTATCTCAGCCAGCCCTTGGGTTTAGCGAGCAGTAACCTTGCAAAGAAAATAAAGAGACTGCTCACAGTCTGCGATACATCGATCAAGTATGTTGCGAGCAGAAGTTTGCTGTCGGCATAGCTTTTAGCACATGTGCGGAGTTGTTCAATTCGCTGTCATTCGCGAAAGAAAGAAACCCCTGCTCGCAGGGCAGCAGCTGTTACCACAGAGAGATTTCGATTTCTGGGTAGATGCAATGAAAAGTTTACGTTAAGTAAAGGGTTGGTCACATGGTACAATTTGACGTTTGCCATTTGTTGCAATGTACCTGATCCTAAATCTCTCTTATGATTATTTAGACACCTTAGAATGCCCGTTTTTTTTGCCATTAATTTGCATAACTATATATAACTTTTCGCTCGCCGCACGTGGCTCTGAAGAGACTGAGAGAAGGACGACCGCTCGGGGAGAAATCAACTGAAACATATCAATTTGGGGCATTTCTGCAAATTCAGATCCTCCAAAAAGGACGATTTTCAAATGAATGTCAAATAGCATTAGACTAAAACTATGAAAGAAACGTTGACGTGTTATAAAGTTCTCGTCGTACAGTCTAATGTCAATCGGCTTAAAATGTGACACGTTAAATGTTGAATCTCTCATAATATTTGTAGCCATCTCGTCTATGAAGATGGACGTCTTTTCGTTGCCTCTAAGACATACGTTTTGAATTACAATTTTGGGGAAATTAATTGAGAAACTCAAGTTTCAATGCTGCGTTCATGTCTTTAGCTTGATGATTGTCGTTGAGAAAAAAACTAAGCCTCTCTAGAGAGCAGGCCACGAAGCAAAATTAATACATTACTGCAAATCAACATTCATAAAGAAGTAGTTAAATTATATTTTGCTTTATCTGCATGGTTATTGCAACACCCGCTATGCATGATGACAATTTAAAATTCAGTCGTATAAACATAACAACTTTCTTTAATTTTCCAGACATGTTTCGACGGTGCATCCGTCATCTTCAGTGTTACATATTTTGAAATCGGCGATCTTACAAAGTTCGTTACATTGCGTTGTCAATATTGCGTACTAAAACAAAAAGAAAACTAAATTAAAACGGTGATTCAAAATGTGTAACTCTGAAGATGACGGATGTACCGTCGAAACATGTCTGGAAAATTAAAGAAAGTTGTTATGCTTATACGACTATCTATATTGTTGCTGCTATCTAGACCAATTTAAAATTTGTTTTTAGGGACTTGTCAGAAATTAGCAAGGGGGAGGGGGTGGTGGAAACAGAGGGAGGGTCACAACTTTTTGAGACTGCAGAAAAGGGAGGTGGCATGAAAGATGGGCCGTTAAAAGGGGGAGGGTCGTGCAAATATGTGTCCGTGATCATGTGGAGGTTCACCCACATAAGGAAAAAGAAGTTCTTTATTTTGTAAAAAATCCTGGGAGAAATAGGAGAGTCGAGTGATCAGCTGTCAGAATCAGAGTCGGAATCTTAATGCTGTCATCTAAAATGTATGTATATAGCATTACAAAGAACTAGATTTTGTCATTTATACAAGAGGGGGAGGGTCATGATATTTTAGGCCAGGGTCAAGGGGAAGGTTAGCAAATTTCACTCTCATTGCAGGGATGGGTCACCTCATTTCCGAACCCAAATTTAAAATTCTCACCCCCCCCTCCCCCTGCTAATTTCTGACCAGTCCCTTATCTTACATATTTTCTCTATTTTTCAAACATCCTCATGAAATGATTTACTTTCGTCAAGAAAGTCAGTATAAGATTTTTATGAACAAAAAAAGAGAAAATTTAGAGTCTAACAATTAAAAAAGACCTGTTTTTAAGAGAACCAATTTTCCATTGATTTTGATTGTTTTTTTTTTTCGTCTAACCTTTCGAAGGGTTGTCCAAAAAAACGTGGTTATTACTGATTGCCTTCGATTACTTGCTGAAAAGTAAACATTTATCATGTGAAATTCAAAAGGCAAAAGATAAATGAGTAAGGTCGAATATATTATATTTGTTTACGTAGTTGTTTTGACTGACTGCTTGGTGTATGTCTGGTTGAAAATAATAGACATTCTGGGAAAAATTAAACTTTTACCTTGGTGAAACAGAAATGATATATTATTACCTTATAAGAGCTTATGAGAGGCCTAACCTCTCATAAGCTCCTATAGTTTCTGTTAGGTCTCCTCGCCACTTCTTTTTTTTTCTTCTTCTTCTTCTTTTCCTATATTTTTTGTAATTAGTGTGGCAAATAAAATAAAATAAAATAAAAATAAAATTACATCCACATATCATGCCAGCTTCATCAGCTGGCTCAACCAGACGTTAAGGTTATATCCCAGTTATATTGTACAGTCTTGGTCTTGTACGCTGGTGAACAGCCGATTTCGAGCAAGTCCCCTATACAGTTCTCTATGGTTGGTGTAATTATATAATTAATTTTTGACCCTTCCGGCCATGGCGCTTCCAGTAGCTTAGGTAGCATACGAACTCACTCGGAGAGTCGCGAGTTCAACTCTTATCTGGAGTCAAGTTCGAAAGTTTTTCTGAGCTTTCTTTTGCTGGATTTCTCCTTCTTCTAAATTATACCTCGTGAAGAATTAACACGCCTAACCTTATACACCTAGACTGCTTGAAGTCCTCCTTTTTTCTTACAATCCGTCAGTTATCTCAGCCAGCGCTTGGGTTTCGCGTGCAGTAACCTTGCAAAGAAAATAAAGAGACTGCTCACAGTCTGCGATACATCGATCAGGTATGTTGCGAGCAGAACTTTCCTGTAAATTGTAATTGTAATTTTTATATACTTATTTTATTTTTTTTTTACAGTCTGCGATACATCGATCAGGTATGTTGCGAGCAGAAGTTTGCTGTCGGCATAGCTTTTAGCACATGTGCGGAGTTGTTCAATTTGCTGTCATTCGCGAAAGAAAGAAACCCCTGCTCGCAGGGCAGCAGCTGTTACCACAGAGAGATTTCGATTTCTGGGTAGATGCAATGAAAAGTTTACGTTAAGTAAAGGGTTGGTCACATGGTACAATTTGACGTTTGCCATTTGTTGCAATGTACCTGATCCTAATAAATCTCTCTTATGATTATTTAGACTGCGAGTAGTCTTTTATTTTTCTTTTAAGACACCTTAGAATGCCCGTTTTTTTGCCATTAATTTGCATAACTATAACTTTTCGCTCGCCGCACGTGGCTCTGAAGAGACTGAGAGAAGGACGACCGCTCGGGGAGAAATCAACTGAAACATATCAATTTGGGGCATTTCTGCAAATTCAGATCCTCCAAAAAAGGACGATTTTAAAATGAATGTCAAAAAGCATTAGACTAAAACTATGAAAGAAACCGTTGACGTGTTATAAAGTTCTCGTCGTACAGTCTAATGTCAACCGGCTTAAAATGTGACACGTTAAATGTTGAATCTCTCATAATATTTGTAGCCATCTCGTCTATGAAGATGGACGTCTTTCTTCGTCTCGTCATTCAGCTCGCAGATTCTTCCTAACATCGGAAAATCTCGGTCGCCCGTCGGTTTGTATTCGTAATTAACTGACAAACAATTCAGGTAAAGAAGGCATTCACGAGCACATGCGATTACGTCATCAACTAGCATTTTTTTGATCACGTGGCCTGGTATGGCGGTGTCTGTGCCAAGCTGGGCCAACTTTCCAACCACTGGGTCTGCCTCTAAAAATAAAATCATTCACGGCCATTTCAGTATCAGGACGGACAACACCAGCATCCAACATAAACTACATTTAAAGATTAAGGAATCAGTGTATTACCATTCATTTTTAGTTGACATTGAACAAATGTCCAGTCATTAGCAGTAAAGATGTGGGAATTAATGTGACAAAGGGGGTTACCATAGCAACTGAATTGGCTCCTAAAAACCCTCCTTATTTAAATTTAAATCCCAACACTGATTATTATTACAAATATTCGAGCGTTAAAAGAGCAGGATTTTTTCAAATTTAAAATGAAGTTTGTGGCGAAGTGATAAGACTGCCACCTTGGGTTAATTTTTAAAAAGTTAAGGTGGCTCTGAGTTACTTGTAAGGGTTTCCTTTGATTTACTGTTATACGGATGCCATGGTAACCAGTTCTATCAGTAAAATGATTAGAACTCCTCGTCAGTGATCAGGCATTTGTTACAAACATCGACTTGAAAAAGAGCGTGGACAATGATGCATCAAAGCTCAAATCATGGCAGTTTCTTCGGTATTGCAAGGATTTCTCATGACGACCATGGCCACCCACAGGAGGTGAAGTTCTCTTCTCGAGATATTCTATTGCTTTCTCTATACCCCGCATGGCAGGTGCCGTTTACAAGTTTCAGACAGAGCAAGGGGAATGAGCGAAATGGCGACCACCCCTGCTTTCCTTGCCTCGCGCGAGAGTCCTCGAGATTTCTCCAATCGCGCCAAAAAAATCCTGCTCCTGCTAAGCAGGCTTCTTTGTATGTGCATCCGTCGCCCTTCCTTTTAAAATGAAACAAAGTCTTTGGGAAATTAAAAAACAAAGTAATTTGCGTGCACAACACTGATTACCTCTAAGTGTCATACATAAATAGTCGTAATTGTTCACATCGCACGGCTCCACTTTCAACTGACTGGAATCTCTATATGCACAGGTATGCGTTGCGACGGAGTACACAGAACTATGAGAAACAGGTAGAGTTGCGAAGGAACTTGCGTTAGCAGGACCAAGTACAACACGGCGAGATGAGTTTGTCTCTGCATTCAGCTGCATCGTGTAAAGAAACTGTTCGGCCAAATAAAAACTTCTTTTATTCATCGCATAAACCAACTCTCCTTTATTTTCAATGCAGACGTCTTTCATCTCACTTGTTGTTAAGGTGTCATTCGTCAACACGCTGAAACAAAAGTTGTTGTGCGCTTTCCATTTTTCTTTGCACCCAGGAACTAAATGAGTCACGAAGAAAAAGAAATAGAAAACTTTACTCCAATTTACCCATCACTTACAGCAGGTCAGTATAGCGGACAATCATGAAATCATGAAAAATGTAGAATTAGAGGGAATCAAGAGAGGATAAAGGGGACAGAGAAGGCATCCCCCATACACACCCTATTCCATAGGTAATTCGTCTCGAGTTATTTTTAAGACCATAGATCCCAAGGGGGATTAGACAACAGCCAATCACATAGCGCGTGGATGAGACACGCTCAGAGCCACGCGTCCTTCACGAATTGGCACAGAAAAAAATGGCAGAAGTCGAGGAGAGCGATATTGCTATTTGTTTTGTCGACGAAAACGACTAAAGAGAGATTTCTGCTAAAGCTGTGTCAGCGAAATGGAAATTAAAAAAGAATCGCCCTTCCTCTCTTGTATAGAGCGAACAGTACAGCAGGGAAATCCTCTCTGGTATTCTCTCAGGATCATTTACTATTTACAGTTTGAAGAGGGCAATTTCTGGTTTGATATTTATTCTTTTATTAGTCTTTTATTATTCTTGCTTTATTACACAAAAGACCGGTTTCAATAGACCGGCGAAATTTCTCATCTCATTAAAGCATTGAGTTTACGACAACTTCGAGTTAAACTGATTTCACGAGTTGTCAAAGAGTCTAGCTATTCCCTTTTCTCAGGTGAGCGCCGACTCATTTCGCTTCAATATTCAGAAATTCTCTCGATCTCTTTACGCTTTCATTGCCTTTCGCTCGACACGTTTTGCACGGCGTTTAGTCATGCGAAACCTCCACGAAACATCCACGCTGCGCGCGAGGTAACTTTATCCCGATTCTAAAAATAACTCGAGACGAATTACCTACGTAACAGGGTGTGTATGGGGGATGCCTTCTCTGTCCCCTTTATCTTCTCTTGGAGGGAATTGAAAAGTAACCGCGGACAAACTACGTATACAGGGTTGGTCGGAATGGGTCGTGTCGAAAAGAACATCTCATAGTGACATGTGTGACATGTGCAAAAATGGCGACTACGCGCTTTATAAACACACTCATAACAGGGACGAGAATTCAACACAAGGAAAGTAAGGGCATGTTTACATGGAGGTGGGGAACCGAAACCCGCCCATCGATAGAATCTCGCATTTTGAATTGATCATGATTACATGATAGGTTGGGTAACCTGCAGAGGCGGGGTGCCCTCTCTGCACCGCGCAAGACCGGGTAACCCTCACAGCCGGGATCAAAGTTTGCCATGCAGTAAACGTTTCGAGGTCGGGCAAACCCTTATGGCTGGGAACGGATTCGTGTTACATCAAATTCGCGCCAAATTCAACAGACTGCCTTTGGTAGCCGGCTTTGCAAGGGACAACAGCAATGAAAGGTTCCATCAAGAGAAGCAAGTCAGAGTAGAAGAGCATTAACAACCAAAAGTGAGCGACCACGCATTTAGCAATCTTGAAAAAAAATTACCCCGGGATGGTGGGGTTGTAAGATTGCATGAAAACGCAGATTATCTTTTTACCCCCACCTGAGCAGGTACCCCACCTGCCTGGGATCGGTTTCCTTCAACTGCATGGATAAAATGCTGATTCCATCACAGACAGACCACCCTCTGTTAATGGGGCCGTTGTGGATTGAAATCTGAGCATCGATCTTTTGTTCTTTATAAAAGAATTTAGATGAACAATACGGTGGCTATAATTTTGTCCCAAAATGCAGATTTTAACGCAAAAGTTTCAATAAAAGTTTGAAGAAAATGCTAACTGAGTCATGTGTCAGGTTTTTTTTCGCCGTCCCGTGCTGTTCTAAGCTCTATTTTGCTCACGTAAAAAGCACCTTGACTAGAAAGTTCTTGATGCTACATCTCGCAAGGACAATTTTGCCCCAAAACATGTGTCGCGCAAAGCCAGTGGAAGTATAACGAGCGCAGACAAGCAGACTTGTCACTGAAACATGAGCCCTATGTCTGCCAACCTCGTGAGAAAGGGTAGCAGTTGCACGTTATTGTTCTCCTTAAGTTTGGGAAGGCTAAACTGGTTATATCACTGAAAAACTTACCCTTATCCCCATAGTCGAAAAACTTATACACAAAGTAAGTAGATTGACTCAGCCCTACACCACTCTTACAGTTTTCTGCCCGACCGTCACGGCTGTATGTTTGACCAGCGGTTTCTCCGGACCAACATTCACCATAATTCTGTAGCCCAAAATAACTAATTTAAGATAAATATAAAACAAATGAGATTCATTCTCAACCTTTGACATCAGGGGTTCTCCGAACAATATCATCGGTTATCAACATTTGTGTTAACGAACTTGGATGAGGCTTTTATCCGCCTAGCACAGTATTCAACCGTTAAAAGAAAATAAGATCTAGCGTTGCTTAGCCTCCCACGCAGGCGTTTTTAGGGGAGCTCGTTTTTCATCCTTCCCCACAAACGCCTGCTCAACCGAAGACAACATTCCTTTCCCAAGCTTAGCCAATCATATTCTGGGAAGTTGACCTTGACCGCAAGGTAATCTGATAATTATTCGATCTGCATGAAACACTGGGAAAGCTTTCTGACCTCTAATAAAAGTTAGATTCAGAGCGGCAAAAGTAAGATTTAGTCAAATTTTAGAATACTTCATGCACTGCATAACCTTAGCGAACGAAAGAAAAGAGAGAAACCGGTAACTCTAGGGTCACGTTTTAGTCGTGTTTAGCCTGTCAACACTCTATTTTACAACTATTGATTAGCCACTTACGACGCAAATAAAACAGTGGGAAAGGAATGTTGTTCTCGGTTGAGCAGGCGTTTGTGGGGAGGGATGAAAAACGAACTCCCCTAACTCCTGCGTGGGAGGCGTTGCTGAGATCGTAAGCAGACCTTCAGTCCCGCTGGGGGATTGTGGAGTCCTCCCATCCTCGGAGACCCAGGAAAAGTCGGGTCAGGGGAAACGGCGTGGCTTCTTCGGAACCGACTTTCTGCCTCTAGGTCTCCAAGAGGGGTCCCTGTCTATCACTACAAAAGTTAAGGCAAGGTCGTTATGAATCACTGTTAACTATCTTAGCGCTCCGAGACCAACCTCGTCCCCAGGGCGCTTTTCCCTGGCTTTATTGGAGGAAAAGCGCCCTGGGGACGAGGTTGCTCCTAGACTCTTAAGAAAGAATAGACGACTTATTGTAGGAAATTTGCATATAAATAAAGTATGCAAATTAAAAAAGGTGAGGGACGGACCATTATTTTTTTGACGGGGCGGTGGGGAAGCGGGGTTGGAAAATTGTGAAATAGATTGTTTGCAGAGGCTGTACGCACTGAAATAAATTTTATGGAAGTAAAAATTAAAGTGTTTGCATGAAGACGGTAACACAAAAAAACTGTTTGCATGTGAAAATTTTCCAACCCCTTAACCCCCCCCCCCTTCCCACCCTCCGTCAAAAAAATAATGGTCTGTGGTTTTTCACTGCTTACATTTTCATTTAGGGGAAGGTTCTAAATCCCTAGGGCAGTCTCTTTCGTCTTGCAATAGGTGTCCGACCGTCCTCTTGCCAAAATTCGAAATGGTGTCATTTCATGTTGTGACCAGCATAAACTGTGCAGTTATGTCAGAAAATTCAGCTATGAAAAAATTATTTTTTTACCTCAGACTTCGGTCATGCGCTAAGCGCGCGCACCAGTCAATCACAGCAGTGATGTCATCCCATTTCATTTCCGGACGGAAATTCTTAAGAAGCAGAGGCATAGGATGAGGTGAAATGCCGCTGTCCAGAAAACAACCCACCGGCTCATAAAGCGGAACTCCTGAAAAATTCAATCCGGTGAAAGAACTGCTTGCTTATTTAGAAATTTTTTTCTTAAGATTTCAAAGGCGATAAAAATGTGACTTGAGAGCTAAAGGAAACCTACTGGCAGTGTGGTGGAAAAACTGACCTTGCCTTTTTCTTTAACGAATTTTCCTATAATTTGAATTATTTTTCATAAAAGAAACAAACCAAAGAGCTGAACATACCCGGACTTACGAACGTCGCCTTTTGAATGTTCTGCAGGACGTCATTAAGAAAAATTGAAATGATGCATCATTTACTTGCCACTGTTTAGCAAAGCAGACTTAACGTTTTCAACAGTTTTTAACCTCTGATAATTTGATCAATCGCTGCTTGATAAGACTACTTTATTCGTAGTCCTACACGTATAAATCAGCTGCCGGCCGCAAATTGTGTAAATCACATGACAATAGTTCCTCTCTCTGACTTTTCTTAAACGGACTTTTTCACCTCCTACTGAATTAAATGTAGAAAACTATTATTTGGACTCCTGAGAATTGACTCACTTGCCGTTGACGTTGTCGCTTTACGACGGGACTGTTCAGGGCTAAAAATATCATAGATACCGGAGTTTTGCGAAAATCATTTCACTAGGAAAAGCGCGATTAGTGAATTGGTACGAGGCGAACATAAACAGCTTTAATAACAACGGATGCAATGTTTGCTGTCGATGAATAGTTTCAAATATTTTACCGCAACAATGAATATAAGTGGTCGCCGCCGAGTGAACAAGAAGACACTTCCATCTTCAAGGTAATAATCACACCCTTTTTCCTTGTCAGGGTCTTATATGTTATATCAGTTCTCTTATCTACAAACGGAACCGTGAAATGAATTTCAAAATAGTAATTTTAAGGACGCACTCGAAGCAAGACATTGATTTTTGCTTAAACTATTAATCGACTGTGATCAAGACAGCTATAGCATAACTGTGAGACTAGAAACAGCTCTATAAAAGTCGAACTTACCGTATGAGAAAGAAAATGCATTCCAAAAAGACCAAAAACTAAGGATTTCAATCACCAATGAAGACATTTAAAAAAATTCTTTATCCAAGAAATCCGCGGCGGGTTTGTGCGTCTTCAATAAAATGATTTCAAACCAATGTTGATTGTTTCAGATTTACATGTAAAACTGACTTTTTAAGTGTCAAATATGAGGCCTCTGTCAATTAATAACGATAAAAACGTACTTTTATCGGAAGTAGCACTTTGTGTAAAGTTTAATCTTTAATCCTTGTTTTCACTCAATAACCCTGTCACTACGCTAACGAGCTCTTGATCAAACCGTAAAACTTATATTCTACTAATATCGGAGTAATACGATATATCTCACACCTACTATAATCCTTAAAGTGCGATACGAACCTGACTATGATCTTCCAAAAAAACAAATTGAATTTTCGATTCCGTTTTTATCGCGGTGCCAGATGCTCTCGACATTTCGCTTCCTGTTATTTTGGTTATTTTTCTCACCTGCTTTCAGCCTCTGAGGAAAATCTTTTGCCGTTGAAAATAAAACCGGCGGTCTAAGACGATTTTAACATGTTTAAGTGTCTTAAACCGTAAAACCTTTCTAGTAAGGACAGATACTCTGACTGAGACTGTGAGGAAAAACAATTGGGAAAGCGAATTTTTCCATGAGGGGATGGGGCGGCTGTAAACGGGCTATGATAATCTAAAGGCGATCGCGAACTATTTTGAGAGCGCAAAGGGCAAAGTCTGAGGCTAAGGGCGTTTTCCATTTGTCAGAACGGACCGACCAGACCCTTCCCGTTGCAATGACAACTTCGCTCTTAATCAAAACTCTCCAGTCAGATCAGTCAAATCATAAATAGTATGCACGGAGGAGATGGTTTTTCAGCAAAAACTCTTGGAAAAAGCATATTTCATTTCTCGGGCAATGCATGGTCCAGCCGGCCAGTTCTGACAAATTGAAAGCTCCCTAAGTCTACACAGTACAAAACCACATAGGATAGGGCGTTTGCACAAGAAAGGTGATTTCCGCTCGGTTTTGAGAAAACAGCCGACATTTCGCGACGCCACCCACCACTAGCCTGCGAACAGCAGACGCTTTTCGGTAGAGAAGCGACGACCGGAAATGCGTCTGCTGTTCGCAGGCTACCCACCACTGGTTTCCCCGCGAAATGACGTCTGAGAAACAAGAGCAGAAATCATCCATACTAATGACACGTCACTACCCAGATCTTGGTACTGTTGCGTCATCAAAATGGAATTTCTGCACTCGTTTCTCAGACGTCATTTCGCGAGACAACCGTGGTGGCGTCGCGAAAAGTCGGCTGTTAATCACGCTAGCCTGTTCTAGGCCTCCAGATAGTTGGGAGCGGCGTGGAGTAAAGAACTCGAGGAAAAGTGAGGGGAACTGGAGAAAGTTCTCCTCTCTTTTTCTCTGCCTCCGTCGCTTTCAGTTTTTTTGGCCCCTATTTTACTTGGCGCCTCTCAGACCAGGCCAGCTTCTGTGTCATTCTTTGGCTCTGGGTGCACAGATATTCATTCCATATTGGATAGCTTTTCATATCGCTATAGCCTATAATGTAGACATAGACAAAAATTCTAGTTTCCCCAATACTTGTTCCGTCCCGAGAGCTTTAATTCTTTGCCCGAATCCCTTCCTGAGTTGAGTCATTAATTTGGCTGACAGACGCCCTCTGCGAGGCAATTTTTGATTTTCAATCTGTTGTTCATGGGACAGCCTAAGAGCATGCCCCCTTATTTTCAGTGGCAAGCAAAGCGAGCCATGAAAAAAGCTGCTCGTGAGCGGCAAAGTCACGCCCCTCACTTCCGTGTTTTCTTTCGCGTGCCGACACGACATCCCCTGAATAGATTGCTTCCTTGCTGTATTAATGGGAGAGGGGGGGCGGTTATCACCTTTAACATAAGGATATTCGAAAATTGCAAAGCTTATGTCAACTTCCCTACACACACACCACCTCAATAAGACTAATGATGGATCTCTAGTAGACATGAGGCTGTGACTCTTCGTAGAATTGAATATGGGTGTTACCTGACAGGATTCAAAAATTGTGAGCTCCCAGGGGGGGTTCTCCCAGACACAAGCCAAGTATTCTTATCACTGTGGGAGCAGTAGGCACTGTGGGGCAGGGCCACTTCCTAAGTAGGTCTACATATACATGTAGCCTGCTGCAAAGAGCAGACACCTTTCCAGCTTTAGTGTTTGCACACAGTGTAACATGAAATACTATCAAAATCGTCAGCAAATCTGCCACTGGAAATTTGAAATGGCAGCTGCCAAAAACTCACCCTGCTAGCAGAGCTTTCTTTCACTTGCTCAATTTTGGCATACTCAAGAAAAGATCAAATATGAATGGAGTGAGATCTTTGTTGAGCATGTGCTGCATGTTGCTAGGATACAATTTTGAACCCAGACAGAATAACCAGGAATTTGGTACAGCGGGCTCAGTTATAACCATTGGTTTATTAAGACAAGATAAGACAAGATTTATTTCACTCAGCTCCGTTTACATGTGACAGATTGAAAAAAAAAAAGAGAAATATAAATACATTTACATAAGGAAAGAATAAATATTGTAGTCACAAGAAAAGGAGCAAGTTGGGATAATCCAAACGGCAAAGCTATTATGTAGTGGATGACCTCAAAAATACAATTACACACAATATTAAGTTTTTATACAGTTTTTTTTTTTAAATAAAAAGTATTTCTTCATGCTAAGGTAGATAATCAATTGATTAGTATAAAAACTAAGCATAGAGTTTTTTAGGGCTTTACAAAATAATCAATAAACAGAAGCTCTTACTCAGACCAGTTTGACAAGAAAAGACAAGATTGACAAGTCCAGATGTTTGGGCTGTGTTGACTTCAAAAGGTTTGATGCCATTCACACAGAGCCTTCTCTTTTACTCCACACTCAAGGAGACAAATTAGGAAGCTCTATTCACAATGAAAGGAACACTTCAAAACACAGTTCTCAATTTTTGGTAAGAATTCCAGAAAAATTACCTTATTATTACGGTTATATCCAAAATTTTGGGGATGTTTGGCTAAGGTAAGCACCCTAAGACTCTCACATGGATTGTCATGATTTAAAAAAAATATATGAACATAAAAGTTTTTTCAACAACTTCAGAGTTTTTCTTAATGCAGTGGCAGGTGGTTAGTAAGCACCAGGGGCGGATCCAGGATTTTTTTTAGGAGGGGGTGCACTCGTCTCGTCGTCTCGTCAACACCAATAAACCACATAGTTTTTTTTTTCATAATACCAGTTGTATTAGAACACCCCCTGCACCCTCCCCCTAGGTCCGCCCCTGAGCACCTTTGTACTTGCCAACATTTTCATCCAAACTTAAGCCTCCACCAAATTTTGATTTACTCGCAAGTTAAAGGTGAATAGTGATTCCATAATTTGAGATGATTTGTTGCTTCTAATAAGTGTCAATGCCTTTCTGATCATGCGGCAATTTTTTCATCTTAGTTTAGGCAACTCGCGCAATGATTCAAAAGCCTTCCCTTCAAAGAAACCACAGGTAGCCCAAGCTCAAAAAAGGAGCATCGGCGAGCATAGGCATTGTTGCGTAACATTCAAAATATAAGGATTTGTATGGGAAAAAAAAACTATCATTTCTGTAACCTATGAAAATGAAAGGATTTCAATAAAAAACAGCTTAAATACCTAACTTAAAAAGTGTGCTACCTCTCTCCTGTGTGATCCACGGGCCGATTTATGGCCATTTTATGGATTTTGTAAACGGTTTTTTCTCTATATAAAGGTAAACTTTATACAGAGAGAAAACCGTTTTCTGAGCTTGGGCTACCTGTGGAGAAACAGCAAATTTACCACTCTAGTGATTTTCATAGTATTAGCACACAAGGCCTTTAAATATTTAAAAATAATAACCTTGTAGTAAACATTAACTGTAATTCAGCTCAAGTAAAGGCAACATCTTAGTTTGCTAGGTTTAATTAACATTTACTGCCAAAATTCCTAATGACCGGTGATACATCATTTTTCCTTTGCCCTTGTTGTTCTGGTGATAAATACTTGTAACCTTTAATCTCACCCAAACAAGTATCTGCGCCACACATACACTGGAACACTTCAGCCATGGCATACTCAGTTGTATTGTAGTCAAAAGTAATATTTTCACCCTTTTTTATGTCCCGAGTAGCCACGACATACCAGAACACTTCATCATTACTGTCTAGATCTGGAAAGGTTGCTTGGCGCTTCTCATAGACAAACTTGCTGTTAGGCTGACATGAATGGTTAAAACGCATCATTGGCCCTCGTGGCTCTACATGCTTTTCCTTGTCAATGTGAACAGTATGAGCAGTTGGAGAATCAAAAACAGGGCCCCAGAGATCCGTGATGAATGATCCAGATGGAATGTCTTCTATGGCTTGGCAAGACAGAAATCCTTTAGAAATCTCAGCAACTGCTATACTCTTTGACTGCATCTTAATCTGATGAAAAAACTAAAAAATTTACTTACATTACTAACACTAAATAAATGCAGTTGAGATTCCAATGACACCAGTTACTCGTGTGCAAAAAACACTGTAAACTAATTTAAGGCAACAGACCACCTGTGTGATATGTTAGATTTTGAAGCAACAGACAAAATGAGTGATATCATATGATTTGAAGCATGGCAGAACATACATCAGATAGATATAATGACTTAACATGGCTTTAACATGAAAATGAGACAAGTAGCTTCATTCCCTGAAAATGGGGTAATTTGGGAGACAGAAAAATGGCCCCTATCTCAGTTTTTACACCTATATAAGAAAGTTTGAGTCTCAAACAAGACTGTTAAAGGACTGTTTATTGGGAAAAAACTGACAATGACACTGTAAGCACCAATACAATCAAGCATTAAAGTCACAATTTGTGAACTTAAAAAATTAAAATGTTGTGCACTGTCAGTGACTCCCTTGTTTTTGTCTTTGATCTTTGCCAGCTTTGTTTATAACCAGACTCCACCACTATGGCTAAGGTTGGCAAACCACCTTGCCCCATTTGTAAGGGAATCCACGACAGTCTTGGATTCTGGATTCCACAATGTGGGCTCTGGATTCCGGGTACTAAAGCTTGCGGTTCCACAGATCCCTTAATTCCACAAGCAAATATTTAATGAATTCTAGATTATTTCCACGAGAAAAATTTCCTGGGTTCTGGGGTCCGTATTGCCAGCTTGCAAGGATGAAACACCCGACATTTGAAATCCCTATATCTCTGTAACTGATAGAAAATAAGTACAAACTTTGCCTTCTCCTTTTTTATGCACACAAGTGTCATTCCAATTTTCAGGCTACAAATTTATAACCATCAGGCTTATATTATCAAATGGACTTTGGTGGTTAGGATGGAGCATAGGCCTCCCAGCCCCTTTGATACAAGTCAGGTGGACGTCCTCGTTGGGAACATGCATTAATGTCTGTGTTGAGAGACATAACTGGGCATGACTCTCAGGGCCGTGGCAAGGGGAGAGGCTGGGGGAGCCCATGCCCCCCCTCCCCCACCTAGTTTTTTGCCCCAAAAAGTCAAAACATGCAAGCATAAAAGTTAAAAACAATCATGTCTCTGAAGGTAGGTGAAACATTTTCTGGTTTTAAGATGCAGAGACCAGCTCAATGTGTCCTCCAGACTCAAAGCCCTCTGCTTTTCATGATCTACCTAGAGGCGTTTTCTAGACCGGGGTATAATATTTCAAACGCATGAAAGCTCCAATTTTGTAAGCAGCCATTTGAAAATATTCAAGGACAGATTGCTTTTAAAAATACGGTTCAATGCATTAACAAGCAAACTTATGTACTCTTGTTGCACCCTTGAACGGAGTATAAAAAATTGGCCCATTTCTAGAACGGGGTATAAAAAATTGGCCCATGTCTTGAACGGGGTATCAATTTTAGGGGAATGTTTTTTAGAACGGGGTGCCAATTTGGAGTCCCGGGCGGCTCATACCTACCCAAAAAATACCCAAGTGCCCCCGGAGTAACTCTCAAGCATTTTGTATCACAAAATTGATCGCGCGTATGATTTTTCGTTGAACAACTGACTGCCTGTCTGTAGGAGAGGTTTCGTTTAATTATTCTTTCACAAGTCACGACGATCACAGTAGGTCACTGTTTTATTGATTGGTAACAAAATAGTTTCCCCTGCGTTCAAACACAACATTTTGCATAGGGATTACGGCTTGGAGACACTTCTGGCCTTGTGTAGTTGTCTATAGCTCAGATCAGTGACCTGTATTCTACGCTGTGGAATGAATGTGACGAAAAATACCTACCGCTGACTGTCGTTTCACTGCCGGCAGATCAGATGAATATTCCCACGTGTTACGTCTTTAGGTGCGGGAAATTGTCTTGTCCGGCTCTCGTTTACTTCCGACACGTGTAATAAGGAAGAAGCGAATTTTTCTGCGGTTTATGCGGTTGAAAGACGAAAATTTTAAGAAAATAAGTGATAACTCTAACCTCGAACTGTTCACCAAACTGTTGATATTAGAAATTGCGCTCTTCAATATGGCCGCCGTGGTATTCAGTAGCACAGGTATACCAATCTCGGAAGTTGAGCTTTTACTCAGTTGCTAGAAAACCGAAAACCATTGGTAGACATCGGATGTCACGTCACGGGGAATGATCGAATGGGGGCAAAAATCAAAAACCCAAAAAACCCTAGCGCTTCCAACAAAACCCAAAAACCCCCCGCTCCCCCCCCCCCAAAAAAAAGAAATTCCCATCCTTTCCAGAAATCATTAAAGGATATATAGTCAACTGCACCCGCTTAATACGGACACAACAGTTTGCTTTGTCCCCAGGGAAAAAAAGCCCTGCTTACATTTTTTTCTCAATTCAACACCATACATCCTACTTCGAATCAGTCAAGAGATAGTAGTGTAGATATACTGTTAACAGTAAACGACAAGTAAAAGGAAAATTTAGTCACGTGGTACAAATTGACGTTCGTCGTTTGCTGTACTGTTACATACACTCTAAATCCTTTTTTAATTATCTCCAAAATGCAGTCCGCAAGCCAAAGGAGGGTGGCTTCGTTAACGCCCGTTGCGTTTACACGAACTTGTTTGGGCTTCTTCGCGACTTTCATCAGCTGAACTTAATTGTAAGCGGCAATGTAATATGTATGGCAAGTCTAGTCTTTATACATTGCCGGGTTCCATAGAGTACACGTGGTAAAAACTTTAATAGTCACCTAATCTCCATGCCTTTGATAATTAATTGTCACGCAAAAACTACCCAAGAAATCCCCTGTAGCCTCAATAGCTAACAAACGCAAAAAATTGCTGAACAATTTGTGCTTGCATCTTTTCACCTACACAATCACTAAGTTAAAACTAAGCTATTCCCTATTGTGGACGATGATGTAAACTCGCAGATTCTTAGTTAAGTAGTATCAAAACCTTTATTTAGTGAAAAACTTTAGGAATAATTTTTATTATTATTTCGCACGAAAAGTGGGGGTGCGTGCGTGGGCCCTGTCACTGCAAATAAACTCAAGTAATAAGCCATTCCCGAGTCAGTCCCCGAGCCTCCGTATCAATACGTGGTTAAGTGCTCAGCCTTTGATATGAAAATGATTTTTCATTCTCATACAAATAAAACTCATTTTCACAAGAATTTTTCACGACTCCATTGTCTCGCAATTCCCACAGGAGACTTGAGCACAAAGAAAACCAAACCAAATATAGAAAAATGACCAGAAAGCCTCGGAGTCATGTTAGAATTTTAATGTATCGAACGTGGGCCATTTATGCACTGAAAAGAGGCTGCAATTTTTGTGATAACGGTGGTTAAAAATAAATAATCCTTTTTAAAATTGTTTGAAAAAGAAATCCCCTTACCTAGGGGGGAACCGGTCCTAACAGAAGTTGGAACTAATCGAAATATATATATGGTTTACCGTACATTCGTAAAACAAAGTCAAAAGTGTCGGTGAAACGTTGTTTTGTAAAGCCTTAGGTCGATAATTTAAATTGCTTTACGTTAACTCCTCGTTTTTTAAACTACGGAATAGTTGTTCGCTTACACCTTTATTTCCTTGCACAAACAAGATAATTACTTTTCCTGGGTGTAATTAATTAATTAACCATACAAGGGGTTAAATACGGTAGAACCTCTCCTGGGACACCTCCATTTCAGGGGACACAAAATTTGGTCTTGGAAAAATGTTCACATAATCTTTGTATTTGTTACCTCTATTGAAGGGACTCCTTTATTCAGGGGAAAGGCACACTTGATTCCGGGTTTTACCTCCATTCAGGGGACACCTTAGCACTAAAAAAGTGACTGACCACAAAGATCATTGATATGTTTAAGTGTACACTACTCATGGCGACAGCTTTCATAACATTCACTAGTTCACTTAAATCGATGAACTGCACTTGTGGAATTCAACACACAACATCGTAGAGATGAGTTAATCATAATTTTAAGCATTATCTAGCTGCTTGAGACAATGACTGTAGCAGATTCCGAATCAGACAAGTTAAGGCATGGGTTGAAAGGCTAAAAAGACCCCCTGCAGAGAATGCAACGATCCTCGTAATGTTATGACGCAGAAGGATCAAGTAAAGGGTTCTACAAAGATAATGTTAAGACATATCTCACTAAAATAGTTTTGGAAAATTCATCCCAAGCATCACGTGACATTCCTTGGACCATGACGTCACACAACCTGTTTTCTCAAACGGGGCAAGGTTGTCAGTGAAACTGTCTGGATTGTTAATTACTGTCATAGCCTTGCAAGGTGGATGAAAGCATTTTTATTTAGAATTATTTAAGTCTTTTATAAGTCACGTGACCTGTTATTCTTTATTTCGTAATCCTTGCTCCACTTAGGCATACATGCAGGGCTATTTCAAAATATCCAGACCATGGGAAAAACACCGGTGCCTAAGAATATTTGCTGCCCTTTCATTTCCTTTCTCCCGTTTTAATTTGAAAACTTTGAAGTTAACGATCATTTGCAGGTCACGTTACTAATATTTCAACGATGAATATATCACATATTGTTAAGGCCACTGAGCTAAACCTGATTGCCAGGTTTCATGACCACTGATCAAAACAATCCGTTTCAAATGCCACTTCGCCAAATTATGCAAATTATGAGGTGACCCATGCCTTAACAAGCCTGAGGAGGCAGGATAAAAGAAATTTGTTTCATCTGTTAGTCAATTATTAACAAACCCCCGCCCAAGCTCCATTCAAGAGACAAATCTATTCAAGGGACCCTTTCCTTGGTGCCGAGGCTGCCTCTTGAATAGAGGTTCCACAGTAGCTAAAAAAAATCATTAGTTTGGTCAAACATACTGTGTCAAGAAAATTATGTATTTCCGTCGTCAATTGTCAAGATCTTCAGCTCAGCAGGGAGAAGCGGAAGGCTGGACCATACGCTCAACCACTGACATTTTCAGAAAATCCCCACATTTTGATTCGGAGATTCACAATACACTAGACTGCAAAAAAGTTGTTGTTGTTGTTGTTGTTGTTTTTTTTTTTTCAAAATCGGTTTTTCAAGGTGAGAGGCGTTGGCGTGAGATTCTCGCGCGAAATGAACGCGTATTTTTCCGTTCTCTCCTCACAGTCTCGTTCTGCGCTTTCACTCATTTCCCGGCCTTTCGTTTGGCCTGCTCGATCGTTCTCGACCTTTGCACAAATACGGGCTCTTTTGCAGTCTAAGAAATACACCGAAGTAATAAACATAGTACTAAAAATGGCGTTTAAAAGTTTAAAGTTTCAAGGCTTCTTTATAGTGGAAAGTGCACTTGGCTTATATTTATCCAGCTGGTTTACAGGCCCTGCACTCAAATACTTAGAAACAAATAATTCAAATACAAACATAACAGGATTAAAAACGCAACTGGCAGGAGGCAACCAGCTGGCTATTTACAAGTGTGGCCGAGAATTTGAACTCGGGACGATCGAGAACAAATCCAGCAAGTGGCCAGAGAGCCGGGACTCGAACCCGGGACCACCGGATTGCGAGTCCGACGCGCTGACCACTCGGCCACGCTGCCTTCTTGGTGTTAAAACTATAATGCAGTAAAAATGATTAAAAGGCTTGATCGCGAGAAAACAGTACAGTGTTTAAATTTTGAAACTTAATTAAACCTTACTTAATACAACATTTTTAAGTTGTACTTGCTCTGTCCCCTCTCGCTCAATCTTCAGCCCAAGTCCGTCGAGGGACTTGGAAAGGTCGAAGTTATTTCTACGTACTACGCATGCCTTGAAAACACAGCTTACTGATCGCTTCAGAGCCCGCCTGTAGCTTTTGTCAAAGAAGGGCAGGAGCGGGAAGGTGGAAGATTGGATAAAAATCGACCACTGCATGACAGCGTGTAATTGGTGAGGATAGTTTGCTGAAAACAGTTGCATCGTGGCTGAGACATAAAGAGGCAACCAGCAAAACAGGGTCAAGCAGCATCTCAGTGACAGTAGCCGTGAGAGGCTCAGACGCTGTTGGAGGGCAGTGAACTGAGGCAGGAATCGCGGACTATGGAAAACTTTCCTTGGATAAAACAGGGCCTGTACTTTGGGATGGATCCTTGAGGAGATGACAAATGGATCCCGATAAGAGGTTGCAATCGACAACTGGATAGATGGCGAACTCGACTGGGAGTCTTTTCTAGACGAATTATCAACCGAGGTGGGTGAAGTGTCTTTTACGTTTGCGTCCTCCGAAGCATTGCGATCTAGTCGGACGTTGCGGAGGATAATTTCCAACAGACTGTTGTCAAACGGCCTTAGCTGCTGAATAGAATTCCTCCTTGACGCTATAGGACTCTCAGTGGTGTTGTGAGACAAAATCGTTCCAGATCGTGATCGGACACTTGAACGTCTTGACTGGATTCTGGACTGAATTCTTGAATGAATTGACTTCCTCCGCGATCGAGACCACGACGTGTTAGATGAAGCTGTAGTTGTCAATTCTGGGTCGTTGATTTTCGTCTCGAGTTGATGCCTTTCCCAGAAGATCTGAAGTGGGTACAATCGACGATGTTTTCTGACGCGGAAACCGAGAAAAATCGTGACTAACAGAACAACAAAGGAAAAAACGAGAAAAAAGAGCGAGTAATTGGAGATTGTTTGAGCACAAGAGTGTAAAAAGGAGAGCCCGTGATGAGAACTCCAGTTTAGAAGAGGAATGACTGCTATAAGCAATGCTACTAGCAGACACACAGCAAGAAATGCGACTTGTTTTCTACTGGCACGGCGTTTCTCGGCAGGACGAATATAATGCTTCAGTGTTTGGCAAAACACAGCCAGAGCGAAAAGAACCAAAAAGCTGGTGATCAGCTGCCAGGTACTTAGAACGTTGAGGGTGTGGCAGAGTGACTTGTTATGTACCAGCCATGTTGGGCCTATAACAAGAATCACGAGCATGACCCCGGGTCCAAGTAACGTGGCTGTAAAGTCGAGTGCAGCCAGCAAAGTGATGTGAGGACATCTTAGGTTTGTACGATGGGAAATAAACGATATGGCAAGATTTCCGCACACACCAACGAACACGAGTGTAATGGCCACTACAAGCTGAACAATACTGGGTACCACAAACATCTTTGGTTGAGAGAAGTTACGTGGCAGCTCGGCTTGGCGGAGTTTTCAGTCACAAGCTGTTTTACGCTGGTTATGATCTACCCTGGTGAAAGAGCAAAAAGTCGAGTTAGTTCTGGTCAAAATATGGCTCCAAAAGAGTGTTAAAAATGCAAAACGTTCGCAAAAGCAAAAGCCCATCAGTTGTAGATCAAGAACTTGTAGTAAGCGAGCGATAGGGTCTTTTCAGCGCCTCAACCTTGCGGGCCTTAGTTTTTGTCCTGCCCATTATAGCAGGATAAGCTATTGCCCCAAGTATCTTAACAAATATTGTCCCTTTTGACCCTCGGACACGATACTTTAGTTCTAGTTTTCGGTTAATTCAGAATAGCAACGGAACAATTAAATCACGACCAATAAATCAAAAGTAGAAGGCACAGTAACGATTTGCAATCTCTTTTTTAAAACGAAAAATCTGAAACATCGGGTGACTCTATTAGCTTCTATTTTTGAATGTGATCATAATATTTCATGTTTTCCATCGACAGTGTAAGAAGCAACAACGATAAAAGATCCATTATTTCATAAGAATTATGCAATCACCGTTTCACAAGATACAGGAAGAAATATTTGACATGAAAAAATCGATCAGAGCAAATTATTACCTCAGAGTAGTAAAATATGAACCTGACCAGAAATGGTCGCCACAATTAAAGTAGCTTCCACAGATTGGTACTAAAAAATAAATAAAATTTCGGCTAAATAAATTATTCCCATACATAATATTTTTTCTCGAAGCTAAGAACGTACAAAATTCTAAAATACGTAATTTCACTTGAATTCTCACCTCCAGTGCGTTTCCTTTAAATAAATTTTTGAGAAAAAAATTTGAACGTCTAATATAATGTTCGGCCACTTGATGCTTTCGCTTGCATGTAATAATGCAGAAGTGAGAGATTACAGCAAAACAAAATATGAAGATCTCAATGGTTAATTAACGTAATTTCTTTTTAATTATTTAATCAATACACAAATTATTCGAATAAGAAGGCAACAATAACAGATAGTTTTCGTGCATCGTTTTTTTTTTTCGCTGTCCTTTATCTCGGATTTTAGGGTCTAATTAGTACATTGTTTTAAAACTGGTCTCGATGTTATCTGGCAAGAGCAGCATCGTTTGCTTTCGCTTCAAAATTGAAATAAACCCGAAAGGTTTATGCCGCTGATTACTTAAGTCAATAGTTGTTTCTCTCCACTCTCCATTCAAAATGAACTAATTAACTATGAATTAACAAATTAGCACTAATTTGATACTTACTTAACATTCTTCAAAAGGCTTAAAATGTTTGTTTCAAAGCAAGCTAATGACTTTTCAACTCAAGAAGTAATTATGCTAATCAAAGGGATTAAAAAAGGACATTCAGTTTCGTCACTGGGTCACGTGTCCATGACAGAGAATGTTCTCGTTTGTCCTCGTTAACCTTCAATTGGCCTCATTATTTCGCACAGCTGATGTATTTGGGGAGAGCACCCTCCTGCGCAGGTAACACTGTCCTATTGTAGAGAACGGGTGGGAGAATGGGTAAGACCTCCTTTTTCTTTTCGGTTGTCACCAGAACGGATACCTTAAAATCAGGTTGGACACCTTATGTTTGTTACACAACACTAAATCTTCGAAGAGAACCATTTATGCTAATTTCTTGGGCAGATGTTTGAGAAAAGTGGCAAATCAGAGTAAGAGATAGTTGTGCAGGGAAAACAGCTGAATACAGGGTTTAGCACTGAAGTACAGTGATTAGGAAAAACGTTTAGCTTTCAACATGACTGTCTCCCGTTTCCCCCCCCCCCCCACACCCCCGAACTGAAAGTTGGAGTTCATACCCTTTAAAAGACTTTTTTAAAGTTTTTGGCCTTTAACACACACTGTCCGGGGGGCGGGGGTGAGGGGGGATTGTTGGAAAATGCACATATCATGTGTCCCAAACATTTTGACCCGGATTGTAGGTCCGAGCGAGTTTTTGAGTTTCTCGGTTAAGTCACCGAAATGCATCGACCGTGAATGCCTGGGGAGACGCCGCACACGGACTGGGCAAGGTAGTGGCCTCGAGGTCTGGGTACGGAGAAGGTGATTCTGACCGTTCTGATTTTTACTTCGTTTAATTTCAGTGTACAGGAATGATTTTTCTATGCATACGCTCACTAGGTTTCATAGCATAAAAACTCAACAAAAAGGAGGCTGTTGTTATCCTTTTTGTTATTTGAGTGTAAAATAAAGGAAACACTGAGAAAAACCCCGAATTCTGGATAGTTTGCCATCGACACAACCTGGTTCCCGGGCATTCTCGACTCGGTCAATCCTCTACCGTGAGCTGTGACGTCACCAAGAGAGACTTCCCGACCCTTTCCTAGACTTCACGCGGACAACGTTGTCATTCTTTTGACTCATTCACTCTTAGACCAGGCGAGTGTATTTTTCATTCTGATATCTACATCTGAAAGGAAATCCTCCTACAGTGTTACCATTCAAATGGAGAGTCTTTGGCAGAACTTTATTTCCTTGGATTTTACACACAGAAATTAAAATTTTTCCCCTAACGTCAATGTTATTTTCGGTCACTATTAGAAGTGAAGATGTAATACCTAAGATGCAGGAAACTACTGGTTATTTTATTGTAATAAGTTAAGCGTACGAACCCCTCTGTCTTTTTCAATTAGGGATTGTCTTTCCTATTCATAGTCAACTGTTTAGGCAAGATCACAGTCAATTTAACCCAAAACAGGAGAAAGATCGGGAGAGAATAGGCCTGCAAGTCACAACTAATTTAAAGGGAGAACGGTAGACTAAAAACTGAAAAAGAGAGTTGCAAACACACACACACATTGTTCTCAGCAAAATTTATTTTATTGGAACAAGCTTAATTCTCCCGCCATCCAACTCTACAGCCTCGACGCCAAACTGTCGTAATCTTGACGTATCAGCGAGGCCTCGAGGATCCATAGAAGACACGATGTCCTGATTTTCTTTGTTGTTCTCTAGGATATTCCTGATAGCAAAGATGGCCCACTGACAGATAACTAAATGAGCGGGTTAAGGTTATTCAAAAGTAAAACATGACTTTAAACTGGCCTTTCTCTAAGTTGTAACTGATAAAAGATAACAGATTAAAACAGTGACCTTGACTATTTTTAGGCCAGTAAACTTCTCATACTGACTCATAAATAATTCATGAAAAGAGTACAAGCTGACTAAGAAAATCAAATGTTTTGTCTAAAGCTAAACGCAAAATCTTGCAATCTTTTGATTAACATTAATCTTAGAAGGTTCCAGAGCTGTAAATGTTTAACAAACCACTCATCAGGCACTTAATAGAATGTTTATTATGTTTGCAAACACCTTAATAAATTGCTTCCCTCTGTTTCTTTTCAGTAATGGTGCCCGTATAAACCCATGAAGGCGCTCTTCTGTTCGTTTTTAACATTACATGTTATATAGGAACTTCTTCCTTGCATTAAAAATAATAAGTTCGAGCCAAAACTGTTAAACATTTGTTGCTGTTGTGCTATTTCTGTGCTCTCTTTTTCTATTATGGATAAAGTTTTGAATGGGTCATATTTAAAATATAATTTTATGAAACTCTGACATTCACCATATGTTGAATCCTTCTGGAACACGAAATATTTGGGCACGGTTGCCTTGGAAACAGGTTCGAAGCCAATGTATGAAATACATCAATGAGAAATTTGGCGATTGTACGTCTGGTAAAACAATAATATGAAAAAACGCTGTATGTAAACTATGTATTATTTATCCACTAAGAGAGTTTAAGGAGAAGTTAATCAAATTTTCCGACAACATAACTGGCAAAAAATTCTAGCAAACAGTGTCTTGCACATAGCCTTGACAGTTATAACCACTTCTTTATGACAGGTTTAAATTCCCAACAGTAAGGCTGGTTTCACCGTAGCATTTATAAAGAAGGAAGGAAATCGGACAAGATGAAAAGAGCTTTCGCTGGTATTTTCTTACTGTTAATTGTAGGACTGTCTACTGTATGCAAAGGGAACGATGAAATTTGCCGCGAGGCCGAAGAACAAAAGGGTTTTTTCCTGAAAAACCACAAATACCGAGAGATCCACGCGGGATCTTTGAGACAGTGCTACATCAAGTGCACTAGAGAGAGTTCTTGCCACAGCGTTAACTTTCTTACTCCTTCGAAAAATTGTCAAATGAACTTAGCAACACACAGAACTAAACCTACAGATTTTACAAAATGTCAAGATTCCACTTATATTGAAAACGTTTCAAGAGGTAAGTCTCTTCTGAATATCGAGTAAATCACCTTTAGACACAACACAAATATAGCAATTCCACTTAACCTGTGGTCAACTGGTTTACTTGCTTTTCAAACCCACTTTTTCGAAAATGTGGTTTCTTTATTAAGGTCTGTTTTTTCCTGTAACTTCAACCCAATAATGAGATATTTCAGTACCTTACCGACGAATATGTACTACACTGATCTCAGAACGGTTTTTTTTGTCTTGTCAACCCGAAGTCAGTTGGAGGGAAAGATTAGAAGAAAGGAAACCTCTGTCTTGAAAAGACTATAGTTGTTCAGAAAGGCCTATGGTTTCACACTTTTCCATAATACATCATTTCGTTGCAGCAAACGAAGGCTTAACAAGTGTCTAAGAATTCTCAAATCAAAAGCCTGATCTGTTTCATTGGGTTCAGAAAAATTTCATTATTAACTCGAACAGCCACAATCATTTTTTTTTCAACTTCTTATCCGCAACTCACGCTGTTCACATCTGCGATAATATTAAACAGTACAGATTTAATTGCTTTCCTGTGCAAAGTTCCTGATGTTTTCAAAACCTAAGGTAAAACAAGGGGAAACAATTGCCCGACAAAGCGCTCAGAGGGAAATGTCTGCCCCCAACTTGGCTTTATGGATATTAGTCTTAGAATGCAGCCGCTCACATTGATGAGAGGCAACTTTATTCGCAGACTTATACGTTACGACATTCACTAAAAACACTGGTTTTCTTCTCCTATCTTAGTGAAAAAAGGTTCTACAAACTGGGCCTCAGGCCACTCGTGCAAAGACATACGACAAAGTGAAGCCACAGTCGGGGACGGTGAGTACTGGATTAACCCATCTTCTTCCGGCAAACCGATCAAGGTATACTGCGACATGACCACTGACAAAGGTGAGAGCACAGTCAAACAAATTCCAGGGCAGGTGATTCAAGCCCCATCTACAGGTATCCGGATATTCTTTTAATCCTCAACTTTTTCTTTTCGGATACGGCTTCCGTCCACACGGCGTACCCGATGAATCCGGCATACGAATCCGCAACTTTTTGAATCCGACCTCCAGAGTGGAAATTTTTGAATACGCTATGAATCCGGATTCGTGTAGACCCTTGGTCCGGATTTTTTTTTAATCCCGTGGCGTAACAAGATCATCGAACCCAGTTTTTTACCGTGGATACTGCACTCAAGATGGCAATCTCGCTCCCACGTTCTTACCCGTCTTTACGACGCATGCTGTGCTGCCAATATTCCCATCTGGAGGAGTCCTGGGTAACAGAGTGAATCCGGATACGTGCTGGATACGTGTGGGCGTGGAAATTTTTTAATCCGGAAAGAAAAAGTTGCGGATTCAAAAATATGCGGGTACGTGTTGACGGGGCCTCAGTTTCACACTCGCCGCAGCCGCTTAATAGAGGCATTGAAGACTCATATATACAAAGTTAGCTTCGGCTTAAGCCAAGGAAAAAATATTCACTGATTTCAGTCTGAAGAAGACCTGTGTACAACAGTGTCTATTGTTTTAAACTCAAATTCAGGCACCTTCTCGCAGGTATTTGTGAAGATTTTACTTTACATGTACGCCGAGGCAAACCATGTAGAAATGAGTCCTTGGCGCTTCTCTTCTGCGGCAACGACGTTTTCCAAACTGGACTATTTGTTTCACCGGTGTAGTTAGCAATTTTGTCCTTTCGTTCCATCAGAATCTTTGTGAAGGCTGTAACGCTTACTAGACTGTCAAGACATGTCTCCGTATTCATACCCCCATCAACTGTTTTGTTTGCGGGCAGGAGCTTTGGGACTTAAAATTGTCTGACTCCTGCTACAAGTGCAATCTCCCATGTTATACAGAGCTTTCACTGTATTGGACCAACGGAAAATTATTTGCTTTTTTAAATAGACTCTTATGACGCCGTTCAATTTAGCACTTATAGCATGCCAGCTTGTCGATTTTCTCGACCACTTCAGTATTTACGTAAATCAGGTCCAACCTTTTAACCTTAAATAAACAAAAACAACAACAACAGGTGTAACTTTCACACCATCTCCAGTCTCAGATGAACAGGTACCGTGTAAAAACGTAGACCGGCTTTAGCGACAACAGCACAATTTTGGAAATCTTCAACTTATAAAAGACACACTAGCTTACTATCATCGGTATGTGCGAACAGGCGTTTTTCACTTTTTTAGTGAAGAAAAGTTAAATGAAGTTTTCCGGGGTGTCTTTCTTTTGAAAATTCGGCAAAAAAATTTCAGTCAAATCTCCCGCCACCCCCTCCTCCCCCTCCTCGTAGTGGCCCTTTTCCTCAAATCCACAGTTCTCTATTCTTCCAATGCAGGAGGCTGGACGCTAGTCAAAAGGGTGATCTTTTCAGACGGTTTGCAACCAACAAAAGAAGAAGAGATTCAAACCACCGACTATAGAATTCAGCTTTCAAATTACAGTTCTCACCTACACCTTCTTGTCACCGACGGTCTAAAGAACCTTAGGAGCGACATGGGCTTTCAACAATTCAGATTCTACTGCCGCAAGGCCACACCAGGCAGAGTGTTTCATATTATGACAAAAAACACCTCACTAGGGGAGGCTGTAGTGCAATACTTTACGGGGAACACCAACGTCCCTCCCCAGGCATGCGACTCTTTCACAGCACTGCCAGACGATAACTCTACGTTATCTGGTAAGTGCATGGAATGGGGGTACCCAACAATGAACACCTGGGGAAAAAACGCTACAACTCGACAAAATATTAAATTATACAAAAGGTTTGTTCTATGGAGAACAAAAAGTGCTGTAGCAATGAGCCGTTCGGATTACTTCTGCGATGATTTGACAAAGAACGGAACAGATGGAGACACGTGGGAATTTTATGTGCGATAAGTCTACATCACTTTTATTTTGAGATTTCGCTTGAGACTGTTTAATTGCCCTTTGGTACTTTTTTAAGCAAACTAATAGCGACCTAGTTTTCTGCGCAACTTCGTTAGAGCCAAAACCCCAGAACAGTCCCATAGTGCAATTCGACACAACACAGACCCAGTCTCAACCTACAATTCGCTACTTTAGAAAAGGGAAGTAAACTGGGCCGAATTAACATTCGCAAAGACTTCTGGGACTATTAGTAGCAAAAGGAAAAAAAAATTGCCCAATAGCTGACCGATTCCACAAACAATTGCGGGACGCATTTCTTTTCTAATAAACTCCGTTTGTCCCTTATTTGGCATGAACTTTCGTTTTCAAATGCTCATACATATGTATTTGAACAAAGATAACTAAATACGCAAAATTTGGGTGCGAACGAACAAAGTATTAAAGAAGGAATCGACAATAGTCATGAACACATAAGATGGTATGGTTTATATACTTTCACGGTTCACGGACTCGCGTGGATAAAACTTTACTGGGCCACTGAAAAAAAAAGTCTCTAGAGAACATGAATACAAGGCGATATGCATATATCTAAGTTCAGAAACGGTCCCCTCAGTTCGGCTTTAACGTAATTGTCTGCCTTACCTGGGAGCGGTGGTTTCTGCAGGCCGGAGAAACAACTACTAGCAGGGTATAAGCAAATGTAACAAAAAGCATAAAAGGATACACGGGTTATGATCATCCACATTGCAACGATCCAGGAGTAAAGGAATCCCTTCAAGTTCACGCACCTATATGAACATTAATAAAACCAATAAACCAATTACTGTATAAAAAAAACCCCGCGACTAAGAACCTGTCAAGCTAAAATTAGCCAGTTAGGGCCCCTTCGTAGAGGAAGCTGTTTGGCCGAAAATTTTAAACAGGTTTTTATTCTCTAAAATGTCTAAAAAAAATTCTGAACACTTTGGCAAATAAGATAAGTCAACATTCAGTATCCTCTTTGGTGCCTTATCACTCCAACTGCAATGCAATGGTATGCAGATTTTATATAAGGAATAAGCTGAATACTACTGAATCCTCTTAGCTACAACGTATTTTTTTCTTCAGAAAATAAGAATCTATCTAATAACCTTAATAGCCTAAATTTGTGCTAATCACCATTTATTGAAGAACCTGTTTAGGCTAACTTGGGAAAACGCAGGTTCTTACTTGCTGGTTTTTACTGATTAACAGTAAATAAGCACTAATATCAGCAGGTATATTCTCTGCACTGTTCTTTATACATTTCCTATGATACTGATGAGGAGAATTTGTTTAGCAATCAAGACCTTTTCAATTGCTGATCATCTCCTTTTTTCTCCTGACCTTTAAGATTGATTGATTATTGCAACTTTAAGGAGAAATTGAGTGCTGGTCGCTAAAAGGGGGTTAAAGAGTTTTGACCACCAACGTCTGATAAGTGTTTGTATAAACAAGGTTTTCGATGAAAACACGAAGAAGGTTCATTTTCCATTTGGACCATAAGACAGTAGTCTTTAAAAACCAAAATGGTCTCGTACATGGGAGCTTCTGAAGATGGATTCCGCCTCAATCAAAACGCAGTATAAGCCTACTTGGCAGGTGCCAGTTAGTCTTTTCATGGAGCGTGCAAGGAGAAAACATGAAGGGTGGAATAGGCCTCCTCTCCTTTTTCACCCCTCATGTGTGCAAATCCTTGAAATTTCTCCCATTGCCCAAAAAAACCAGCGCTTGCTACGCAGGCATGCATTCTTGCCTTGTTTTGATTGGCTGTGTGTTGGTAGCACATGTTTCCAATAACTCGCACCAGGTCTCTCTGAAAGCCATGACTAGGGCTCAGTCTCCCCGAGTCTACACCTTGTGGAACAGAGCTGACATTGCTAAAGGTTTCTTTGACGCCAGGTTGAGCTGTCTCCTTTAGTAAACCTGCAGAATTGAATTGCACTTATTGTTAGCAAAAACTATTAAAGTGAATTTGAAACATGTCAAATTTTGTATATTTGCTGCCAGAAAGTTACGCTCTTAGCAATGACAACTTGAAAGAGTAAATAAAGACAAATAATGTGACAGAAAATTTACCTTCATAATTCACTTAGAGACTGATGTGAAGTAAGCTTGTCTAGAGACCTGTGTTATTTTTGGCTGGACCTTCGGTACTTCTTTATACGACAGAGATCATAATTAAAGTTGAAATCACTATTTTACCTAGCCTGCATGGCAGGCGCAAAGTACCAGTACTGTGAGGATATTGTGCTGGCAGACATTAACTAAATATTAAAGAATGAACAACACAGGGTAAGAGAAAGAAGCAACAGCAAATTCCCCCAACATATGCCATCACCTTTGGGGGTTTTAAACTCTGGACACATTGCTACTCATGAACGACCGAGCAACAAAGTGATATTAGCTTACAAACAATTCAATAATAATGCAAAAGCTATACATTCTAAATGACTAAGTGCAAACAGCCAGAAGCTATGGGCAATGTAGTGAGGACACAGAGGTTTTTGAAATGCATTAATGGGGACATTAATTTTTGTTAGAAATCAATAGGATGTTGTTTCACCAGTTGAAGGAATAACTATATGTAGGTTTTCTCAGACATAACTAATTTTATAAATGAATCATGAAAGAAATTTCCATTCCCTTCCACATTCTTGACTAACCTAGACAAGTCTCCAGTAATGCTGTTCTGTCCTGCAAACCAGTGATATTTGATGGTAGTCCAGTACTAATGGAGAGTAGACTCAAAAGCCTTGTCACAATCAGCACCTGAAACTGATAAAAAATGCAATTTTAGGCCCGTAACTTTATAGTGTCCTTGCCAGGCACTCGGCCGGAGTCACACATTCCTGCCCAGGTGTAGGGGTGGGAAGCATTGCTTGACTTCAGCCTGAGCAGCTGCAAAGGAGGAAACTAGTAATTTCATGTTCAAAATGAAATGCAACTTTCTACCGTTGAGGTCATTGTGGAAACATTTTATTGATAAAAATGAAGCCTAAAAAATGCCCAAAAAAGAAAAGCATTGGGAATAAAAGAGTGAGAAGTTGGTGGAGGGAAATAGATGGCTGTAATGCCACTTCTAAAAATTTTGCCTTCTACATGTATGTGTTGTGGTTCAATTTTATCCTTGGTTTAAATTTTATTTTCCTTTGCTTCAATCTCATTATCATTCATTACCATACCCCAAAACAAAGGAAAATAAAATTTAAACCAAGGATAAAATTGAACCACAACATATGCACGCCTAAACGTGTAATGTAGAATCAGAAACATAAGCCAGTGTAGAACTCAACTTGCAATCAATGTTTTGGGCTGTTTTTTGTTCTTTTTAACCACATGTACAGTGACCAGCACAGACAGCACAAGTGTGAGGAGTCAAAGCAAGAGTAAAACGTAGAAGTTAACCCATTTGCTCCTGGGAATTTTGCCAAAAATCACCTTCTGAAGCCAATCAAGCTGTTTTTTCACTGTCTTGCTATAATGATCCAAAACTTCCCAACATTCTGTTTATAAATCAAGCACTTTGTGATCCATTCCAGATGCAAAATATCAGCTTTTCTGCCCTTGTTGTTGTCATTGTTGTCATTGGTGTTCTCTTCTGATTTGTTTGTTTGTTTTTTTCTGTTACTGGGCATCTAGTAGGCTTCATTTCAGTGGGTAATGTTAGGAAACATTCTGGGAATACCTTAAGGATCTTAGGATTGGATGGCTGGAAAGGAAGGTGGGCAGTTGAATTTTCAGGTCGACATTGTAAGGCTTTTTGTCATTTCCCCTGCTTTCTTCTCTGAATAATGCTGTTTCTGATCTGGTTTGAAAGATCTCTTCCTTCTGCACAAGTTAGATGATGAAGATGTAGTCCTTGACTGTTAAAACAGAAGGGATGTGGATCCACATGGGCAGTTACAGGTGGTTTACGGGTCAGTCGGTTAGGCAGAAAAATTATGCAAGACACTTACAAAGTCATCAGATGAGGTATCCATTTCTTGAAGTCTGTCAGTGATATTTACAGCATGATTTTCAAACTGATCAGCTACATAATTTAATGATGATGCATAAAACTGATCTGCTACTGACTGCCTTTGTGATCTGTCACTTGGTTCATCCAAGGCATCTAAAACATTCAACGAAAAAATTCAATCATCATTTGCATACCAGCAACAGTGAATCTTCTGTAAATGGCCAGAAAGGCTGCGACATTGAATATCAAAGTTACAAAAGTTACAAAAGGAGTTGGATCTTTGGCTTATTTAACCTGCAAAAGACTACCATTAATTACCTCTACATCAAGGCCAAAACATTCAAAATAACCTATCTGTTAAAACAAGTCTTAAATGGAGTTAGGCCTTTGGCTTGATCAAGCCAGTAAAATAACACCTTTTTACACTACATGGTCTAGCATTAATCCTTTTAGCTACACTCTAGGGCTGTCAGTAAGATTTCAATGTGCCACATATAAGTAATTAGTAAGGTGTAGGTGCAGTAAATGACAGCTAGGAAGTCCTTTTCATTCTATCTTCTTTGTTAATTCCGATGAAAGTAGCAGGGGGGTCATGTTCATATAGTAATAACCTTGGGAAATCTCCGGCCCTCAGACCTTGACAACAACCCTGTAATTAACAAAATAATTTTAAATTTACCTTTATTGATAGGTAAATAAATATTAAACTTACCTGTTGTTTTCACCTGGAATAAGTCCAACAGAATAACCCTATTAACCAGTAACAAGACAAAATTACAATACTTAAACACAACGGTGCTCACTACATGTGCAACTATAATGTAGACTCTAAGAATAAACCAACAACAATCTTATTTTGTTATACCGTGAAAAATGCAACATTTGCATAAGATAATACTATTTTGACAGATATTTGTCAGTTTTCTGTTCCTAGACGTGAATCCCATCCCTTCACTGTACTTGAAACTGTAAATGCAGTTCTACAGTACTGCTCAAAAGAATGTTACATGGACCAATCTCATCTCATTTCTCGAAATTCAAGTGTCTCATCCCAGAGATGAGCATCTCGTCTCTAGAGACAAGAGTCTCATTTAAAGAGAATCAGTACTGAACATTGGCAGATCCAGACCTTCTTCAGATAAGGGGGGGCCTGGCCATCCAGACTCTGAGATAAGGAGGGGGGGCCGGTCTCAAAAATATTTTTTTTGGCCCTTAGGGCCTCATTTTGGTCTAAAAATAAGTGGGGGCAGGCCCCCTAGACACCTCACCTGGATCTGTCACTGTTGCAGCAATTCTGGCATAAATTACAAGAAAGGTCCAACTTCTCTATGACTAGGGCATGTGGCTCAGATCAAAAAAGAAACAACACACTTAACAGGGGGCCTAAAGCTTGAAACATCAGTGAAGTCTTAGGCTGAGACTTTTACTCTATTGAAAAACACGTTCCAAAAACCATACATTATAAAAGAGCCAACATCTCAACCTCTTTATATTTGCCTCAACAGCAAGGCGTACGACCCGTTTTAAACTGACACAACACGTCACTTACATCACACTTAGTGTGACAATGCTGTTGATCCATGAAAACAATATGGAGTAGTGTATAAGATTCCTCGTGAATGCAGGAAAGAATACATAATTTTAAAGGCAAAATGGGAAGATGCATTACTGTATGAACAGATTATGGCTTTCAAGAACTCAAACCTAAGTCATTTCTGAGTATACCAGTAAGACTTAATTGGTATTAATAATCTGTTTTGAGACAAGGTTAAGTTGATTGACTGAGACCCTCACCAGTACTCTTGTAAGAGTTAAAGGTAAAATCCCATACTTTAGTGTATAAAACAAAGGAGCTACGTCATGATAAAAGCCATAATACAAGACATAATGAGGTGGATAGATCCTAGAGTGATGCCATTTAACAGAAACCTTTTTGGAGAAATTCTGCATGACACTATTACATTTTAAAATATTTTACAACACAAAATAAATGCAAGCTGTCTATTTAGCAGAGACAAGGCCTCTTACTTAAAATATATTTCACTTTATACCTTCTTTACCTTGCGAGTGGATCAAATTCAATTCCTTGATACATCTCAGGGAATAAACCATTACAGATCAAATAATCTAAAATAAAATATCTGAAAACAAAAAAATTAAAAAAAGCTTGATTAACCACAGAAGCTTCATATAGTTAAACAAGACACTAAAGCCACGTACGTGATCTGATTCACAGGGAGGGACACTCCCTTATTTGGCCAGATGGGTATGTGCCACTCAACAGGGTGTGGTTTTCAAGGTCTTCTCACTATTTCACTATTTAGCGTCTTGAACAGGGTGTCTTTTTGGAATGTAAAGGCGGATGCATCATAACTGGTCTAACAATTTTTTTCTTTTTCAAAAAAATGTGTATAATTTCATGATGTTAGTTTTAAAAATTACCTGATTCTGTGTGCGAAACAAAAGGAAGCAGAATACATGTACAATAGAATAGAATAATTTACTTAATGTCAAAGACATAGGAAGTGTTTGCACAATTTTCCAAGCATGAGGCTCATGTACAAAACAAGATAAGCAGGGTCCTGAAATCGGGTTTCTTGTCTTAAACAAGGTAGTAAAATGAATGATTTTTGTCTGAAACAGGGTCAGGGTTTGAAGGCCTTGGTGACACAGTACACTACCCAAACTTTTCTTGAGTGCCCCCCCCCCCACCCCCCACCCCCCGCTCCTTGGATCTGATTATTTATACCCACCCCCACTCAAGTTGAGTCTTCTCAGCACACAAATGAACAATGTGAGAAATGATCTTCAGTCCACAGTGGTCTCTTACAAGCTGCATCCTGGAAAAAACACAAATAAAAATAGTGGAAAAACTTCAGTAATCCTGGGGAGCAAGTCCAGATAGCCTTGTCCAGTGTAAGCTGAGAAATACATGAAAAAATACAGAAAAGCTTGATTGAAGTAGGCATGCACAAGTACCTGTTCTGTTCATTTAAACAGTTGTATATTATCATGCATAAACAGTCTCGAATGCTGTGATTTGTTGATGAAAACACATCTCTGTAGGGAAATAATAAATAAGCAGAAAAAACCATTAAGTTTGTATAAAATTAATAACAAGCACAAAAAGGTCACGCATAGATTTAACTGAATGCCAGTGGATCAGAAACACAGTTATCAAACAAGAAATTTCTACTCACTAGATTATAAAAAGTGTAGAGTTTCAAACAAAACAGCAGAATAGCATGATTTTACTTTTTGATTGATAAATTGGGAATTCAAAGGTTCAACCAAAACAGTTGAATAGCATCATTTTTTTTTCAGGGCAGGATGAAGAGTAGTCTTCCATACAGCTGTTGTCTGTGTCATCACACAGTGAGGGGTAACCACACAATGAACACCTGCATGGGAGACTAGATAAAGAGAGTAAGAAAGAATAACTAACTACTTGTCATTATTTAATTGAGAAAAGTTCACTTTAATGTTTCCCACAGGATAACAAAACTCACAAGAAAAATTGTGGGAAGCATTTCTTCCACACAAGTCCCTGAGTAGTCTCATTTTTGACCACTGCATTACCAAGAAGCTGAAGGCTACTTCTTAAAACATCATTAACAGCATCCACTCCTACACGCAAAGAAAGAAAACAAGTTGGTATAACATGTCAGCACAATCCTCTTACCAAACAGGAGAAAGGGATTGACCTTAAAACAAGCCTTCAACTACCTCTTTCAATTTCCTGGTACTTCGGTTTCGACAAAGTTATGATTATGTCCATTGCCTGATCTGCCACACTGGAAGATCTGAAATTAGACAAGACAACAAAAATATTATTGTAGTTTATTAGTATGGATAATAGCATGATTTGTGGTGATATTTGGCATAAATAACACAAGTGATATTTTGAAATTGCTATACGTAATTTCACAAGCTGTTGGGTGAGTGAAATGTGAAAAAATTTGGAAATATCATGAGTGGTATTTATGCCACATATCACGTACAAATCATGCTATTATTTGTTTACACTCCTACCCGCAAACAGTTTGTAATTTTCACATGTAGGTATTTCAAATTAAGCTGAAATACCACTGCTCTAGGCCAATCAAATTGCAGAAATTTCTAATGTAGTAGTATAAAAATTGTATTTTATAACACTTCATTTACCCAAGTTAACTGGGAACAGGACAGGAATATAATAGCACTTCAAATACAACATACCTGTAAAACATTTTTCTGAAACATGGTGAGTTTTTGCATTGCAGAACTTTATGCTCAAAAGTAAGTTACCACCTAGCTCTCACAAGACAAGAAATCAAATGGAATAGCACATGACTTAAATCAGGTAGTGTACAATGTAATTTACATCTCATGAGAGATTAGTACAAGAAAGGGTCACTTGCTGTGCGATTCTCATGGCACAAAAAGGATATAAAATTGTAAGTACAGTTGTATCCTTGCTAAACTTTACTGTGTGACAAAACTTCAAAGCTATGCAAACCAAATATCACAATTGACATTAGCATCGCTAGTCAACACAACACAAAAACATTTTAACAAACAGAAATTTTGATCAAGATTAGAAATTAATACAAAATATTAAAAGGACTTACTCTAAAGACTTACTACCTGTGTAAAGCATAGAATTATCAGAATTTTGTCCATAATGCACACAAATTCGTCACACATTCACTAAGTGACTCGATCATGCATGAACATTTTGAATTGTTTCTTGGTGTTACAGAAGCTATTGCTGATTTGCTTTTGTTTTGTGGTGCAGATATTGTGCAATGTATTTTCAGTCTTCTGTAATGAATCATTTGGTGTTTACCCTTGTTTAGGTTTTAAACAAGAATTTCTACTGCCTCCTATGAATAAGTTAAGAGCTAGAAAACAAAGGGAATTGTGAATCGAGCAGGGCTGAATACTGATTTAATGTGAGACGGATGATACGCCCAAAATAATGGCTATCATCACTTTCAGCACACCTTCACTCTACAGAGGAAAACAAGTACATTGTAAGCGAACTACTTTTTTAACAAAATGACGAGTTTAATATGACAGAAAAAATAATGCCGTGTGTTCTACAGTAAATAACACAAAAGGGGCAAAAACTGGACATTTCTTGATGCATCTTTTAGCCATGAACAATGAATTCAAGAAATTAAATGCTCTGTTGTTGCTGGATATGCTACTATTATGGTTTCTCTTACACTTTAATACTGCGAGTATTTCAGTACTTACAATATAATGTTCTGATTCTTAGGTGTTTCAGCGCAACAGTTTCTCAGAAATCTGAACGCCTCTGTCAAAGTTTTCAGGTGAAGACTAAGTTGTTCATGTTCTCCTACATTCATGTGAGAATACAACATGTTCTTGCAAGCTATGATGATATCTTTAGTCTGTATTACGTGAATATCCGATAAACAGCATCTACAACAAAGAATGAAACACAGCTATTTATGAACGAACACATGTGATTCAATTCGCTTCTAAACAGCTGTTGAAAACGCATCTTCAAATGTATACTCCTCCCAAAAACCTTACCTGTTGCTTTTTACCAAGGCCCAAGATTTGAGCTTTTCCAAAACTGCTCTAATTTCTATCCAAGAGGTTTCAGATTGATCAAGCCTCTTTGCAAAACAAGCCAGTTCGCGAAGAAGTTCATCCGCCATCTTGGAATCTTGGCGAGTTGATAAGAAACATTATGAAGTACCAATTGTGACAGGAATTCCGCTGACCTTATTCGACTATCCTTGACCGCGTTCCCAGGGTCTGCTCGTTTTTCATGTGGCGGCTTTGTTTCTCGCGCAGATTTCCTAAATCCATCTTTCCCTTTGTCTTTCTTTTTAATACCTAGCTTTGTTGCTCATGGAATTTTGGCTGACTAATAGCCTGCGTCAGGAGTCTCCTGCCTACCTTGCAGAACGAGAAATGCGAGAAATAACGGGACACCCGTGTCTCCCTCGCGCGCCCAGTTCCCCGCCCATTAGGGACCTTATGATCCGACAACAGCAACGCAAGTGAAAACCACGCTGAAAAATTTGAAACCTTTTCGCCCTCATACCAAGTCGCCCAGTGACTTGAAGTATGGAAGTTAAGTTGGACCTGAAGAGAGGGGACCGTGTCCGAGTTCAGAGAGAGATAAAAAAAATTTATCACCTTGTCGTTCCCTTCTCAAGTTAACTCAAAAATTTGACCATTTCACGTCGTAGTTGATCAAGGACGGCGGAGAAATGTACAAAAAAGCGTGCAGATTGTTGTTTTTTTCACTGGAACCTATTGTGTTTCAGACGTTTCCGTTGCCGTCGCCATCTTAGTTTCGTAAGGTCCCTATTATTACTTCCAAGCGCCTGCTACTAACTTTTCAGGAAAGGGACTAACTTAATCGGCAAAGGACTGTTACCAAAGAGTAGTAGGTGAATGATAAAATTGGCAACTCATTTACCCCCACCCCCCCTCCCAGATGTTACTTGCTTGCTGTTAAGATTAGTAAAAGTTTCCAAAATGAGATCTCTATGGTCTCCATCAGTTGAGGGCTACTTGCGCGTGACTTCCCCTCCCGCCCTCCCCAAATGAGGAGCTTGCTAGCAGTCTTAATTGAATTTAATTTCGCACATATTTTGGTGTTCAAATCAAGCTGAATACATATGGCTTCTAGACATGGCTACTATATAGGGCGCTAACTATCGCTGTATCCTTTATTGAGGTTAGAAACTGGGTAAAGTGAAATTATTCTAAAATCAATGTTAAAGCTCAGAAAGGCATCCGCTCATCTTAATTTTAATGGACCTAAACAATCGAAATTGAAAGATGAGTTATATTTGCAGTCTGTTCTTATTTAATTGATGCCACCCCCGGACAGGTAATGTTTATTATGTAAACGTAAACTGTAAAATCAAACTTAAATCTGATAATGTTTGGTTTATTAGTCACAATACATGCTCACTCCGCCCGAGGTCGGCGAGGCTGGATAGCCAGTCTTTATGATTGTAATTCCTAGCTCTGGATAATGTTGTTTTTCGTTGTTACTGTGTCAATGTCATTGTTGGTTTATAATTTCGTTATGTCTTTATTTTATAATATATTTCCGCGTTCCTTCAAAGTCGCGACGCGTCAAGAGGGAACATTTCCTTCAGTCGAACCTGTTGTGTCTCCTCCATTCGACAATCCACATCACGTGACTTTTCCAGATCTCCATGGGTTTCCTTTGATTGGATGCATATCTTGAAAATAGACAAAGCTATCCGGGACCAAATTTGCCTGTAGCTCACGTCACATAAAAGGAGCATTGGAGAGACTGACGACTGAATAAAAACCAACCACTGGATTAACACGTTCAGCTCTTGTGGATACTGAACAGCCGCCATTTGAAGTGCAGCTGTAACGTAAAGAGGTAGGCAGCAAATCAGAGTCACGCAACACCTCAGCATAAGTAATCGTGACAGCGAGCGTTGTTCCTTGGGAGCTTTAGATAGAGGGAGCCATCTTGGGCTTTCGAAGATCTTCTTTCGCTTATAATTTATGTCAGGAACTCGGTAAGATATAACGAACGGGCCTTTAGGGGTGCCATGTTGAGGGCTACGTAAAACAACAGAAGCAGACTGAGACGCTTGCAGTTGTGCTTCATGGCTACTTCCGGGTTCAGTTTGCTGACCTTGCGCCCTTTCATTTTGGCGCGCAATGATCTCCAACAGAGTATTCAAGGCTCCTTCCAGTGGCAAAGATTTCTGGGAAGCCTTTCTTCCGACAATGGGACTGTTACATGCTGATGGTAAGACAGATCGTCTGGTTGCGATGGAGCCAGCACGAGAGGAAAAACGACCAGATCTTACCGAAGTTGAAGATGAAGCCGCTGTTGTCATTTCCGGGTCGTTCATTTTTGTTTCTAATACATGACGCTCCCAGTAGAGCTGCAATGGGTAAAAGCGGCGCTTCTTTAACGCCTTCGCAGCAAGAAAGGTACTGGTTAGGAGAAGAGCGAAAGAAAACGCGAGATAGCAGAGAGAATAGTGCGAGATTTCCGTAGGGCGAGGTAAAGAACAAGAGTGTATGAAATAAAGGCCATCGTAAGAACTCCATCCCAGAAGAGGCACTACACTTAATACCACTGCCATCAAAAAGCAAACGGCGAGAGCAGCGATTTGTTTTCTCCTAGCACGACGTTTTTCAACAGTCTGAACGTAATGCCTCACTTTTTGGCAAAACACAGCAAGAACGAAAAGAACCAGAAAGCACGTGATCATCTGCCAGATGCTTAGAAACGTTAGGGCGTGACATAGTGACTTGCTATTTTCCAACCACGATGGACCTATAACATGAATCACGAGCATGATCCCGGGTCCAAGTAACGTAGCTGTAAAGTCCAGCGCAGCCAACAATATGATGTGAGGACATCTTAGGTTTGTACGATACGAAACAAACGGTATGACAAGATTCCCGCACACGCCTAGTAGGGCTAGTGTAATGGCGACTACAAGCTGAACAGTACTGGGTACCACAAACATCACTGGTATTATGTAATTTCCTCAGTTGAATGTGAAACAGAAGCTCTGAAAAAGGCAAAAAATAGAAAATCAGGTGAGAATGTATTACACTGAAAGAGTAAATCGGGAGCAACTTTTTACGCGTATGCAAAGGACTTAAAGAACGATTTACACGGCTCAACTTTGACGCATGCGATGTGCTTGCGACAATCCTAACAGGAGTTTTATCGTGTACATCTCACTTACAAAGACTTCCCCGCGGCTATCGTAAGTTTGATTTACAAGGTACGATTTGGGTTGTACATCTACAGTAAGCATACATCACACGTGACAAATTTTTGCCGTGTAAATCGGTCTTTACAAAAAATTTTCCATTGGTGCAGAGTGTTTACCACCTTACCGGTCCGGTGATTAATTTGTCATTTTTGCTGTATGTGTACAAATTGTTTTAAATTACCTTCATTACCGCGCTTTTTAACTGATTAAAAAGAATTACCTCAACAAGCATAAGGTAACAAGCGCTAATTAGTATGCGTTAAAAAGCCTTTTCAATATACACATGTTTTTTAAAACAATACAACAATATTTTTTTAATTGTTTTCAGAATAAGAACCGAGGACGCAGATTTTCCGTTCGTTAACATCAATAAAAATGTATCAATTCATCAATTTTCAAACTGAGAAAAAGTTATCAAACAGTTATCATGTTACTCTGACGCCCCATATCATGGTAATCCAGGGGTGCTTACCATTACACAAATAACCCGGGTGGAAATTTTGTGCATGAACATAATGCTTAAGAATTTGGCGTGGTGGGACAATTACCCGCTACAAAGTATAGCCAAATCAACTGAACATACTGAAAAGAGTAGAGGAATTGCATCGCATCAAATTACAGCCCATATTTTATGAAGCTTCCCAAACGGAATGGCCTGAGCCATTTGATTTTCTTATCGGAATTTCCGGTTTTCCCATGAAAATTGTAAGTACCCCAAGTCTTTGGATCCAGTGCCATTGTGCCTTACCTTAAACAAAGCCATTAAAAGTTACTTCACATTGCCGCGGAGCAAATGTGGATTTTTTGAGAAGCGATCGAGATACTCCAAGTCCGAACGAAAAAATGAAGCTTTTTGGAGCACATATTGCTGTTTTAGTTCCAAACATGAGAAAATTAAAATAAACGGTAGCAAAAGAAAATCCCAGTCTCTAGCGTTCAGAATGAACAGCCTACGCGGTTGAATAAAAACCTGAAAAATTTTAGGCCTTGACCAAGAATCGACCCTTGACCTATACGATGACCGGACGCAAAGCTCGATTTATTGAACTAAGGCACATGGGTGTGTTTAATACAGCCACTGGTCATGACTAACTATGAAAAAAAATTACTGTCAAATGCACAACGGTGTCTTTCCTCGTCGATCCGGATAAACCAACTTATTTTGAACAAATCTAAAGCAGTCATCGTGTTCTTTTATCAAGCGAGCGATTTGTTTTCAGTTCTCCGGCTGCCTCGTGCAAGTTGCAGTCAGTTTATTCCGGTTAGCTGTTGCATTGGGTCGTCTAAATAACTACCAAATTAGAACACTGTGACGATAAGGGCTAGCATTTTTTCGTTCTCCACGCTTCGTGAACGTAACAGTTGTGTATCATAAATTTCTATAGAGCAAGCCGTGTTCATCTGGAGAGGAGTTCACCGGACGCTGGTATATTGATGCCAGTCGGTTGCCAAAGCTTGAAAGCATTTAAGCTCATGCAAGAGAGAATGAGCTTTTAACAGAAGCGAACGTCAAGTTTTTAAGAGCCATTAAACTTCAAAACTGTTGCATCAATTTTAGCCGAAGAGCAATTTGACTCACCTTATTTTGAGATATACTGTTCCTTTTGCTGTTTAAAGGTTAATGCAACACAAAACTATCCACAGTATAAAAACAAGATTTTGTTTTATAGTAAAAGGACAGTAATTACGGGAAAATCACCTTTTGTTGTGCTAATAACATTACCAGTTGCCAAGCACCGATTTAAAGTAATTAACTAATTAATTAAGCTTTTGTTTCTAGATCAGTAGATCAACAATTTCGAAAAACATTAAGCTTTTGGATCGATAGGTGAGAGTTTTGCTATCCTGAATCTTCTTTTTTTCTATGAGGTCAGAGTGTTCATATAATTTTTAAAGTATAAAAATTTTAAAAATTTTTTTAACGATTTACGTACACTTGAAAAGTTTTCTGCGAATACAGATTATGTAAGAATACGCTGGCCACAACGCAGCTCTGGGAATCATCGGTCTCCCTTCTCCCTAATCCTCAAGCACAATTTAAGGAACAAGGTAAAGTGACACGGGACGATTCGCAACGACGATTTTAGTGCAATACAGCGTTGCAATGTTGGAACAATGTTGAAACTATTCGAAACAATGTCGCAACAATGTTACAACGCTTTATTAAGCTAAAAATCGCCGTTGCGAATCGTCTCGTGCAACATCACTTTAAAACTCCTGTGATATTGAGATTCCGCCCAGTGACGTCATAAACCGGGTGAGGAAAGCAAGACTGGGTACTAGGTCTAGTCCTTTCTTGACGTGACACTGCAGGCTCAGAATAATCACGACGTCTGTGCACGAAAAGCAACGACCACAGCTGACGACCAGTCGATATGATGAGGGTTTCGCCAAGAATTCAGTACGATCAGGCCACTAGGTTAGATGTAATAACGCAAAATTTAACCAACTGTTATAAGTCTATAAAGCACTCAATACCTCTCCTCGCGATTTTTTCACCCTTTCACCAAACAGAGAGCCCGTTTACAGGCTGTTACATTTCTAGTCGGCTGAATCGTCATCGAGTGTTCTCTCGGTAGTTACGTTCCAGTGGACAAGAACTGCTCACTGTGCCACTAGCTAAACTTGATACTTATGGAGACAGGGAGTTCAGCACTGCTGAGCCAAGGCTATAAGGAATAACTTACTTCTCAGCATTATCTTCGTACTTTCAGATATTCTTAAGCTCTGTAGATTTATCTCGGTATTTTTAGCTTTTAGACTTTTTACCTAACCATAATGATTGGAAAGCGCTACAGAAGCTGAATAGCGCTATATAATTTAATATTATTACTTATCGTCTGATACAGTCGGTTTACGAATGTAAAAAAGATGAAAGGTTGAAGTTTCGGGCTGATCTAGCCCTTCGTAAGTGCTAATCATCAGATTTTAGGGTCTCTTCTCTTCTCTTTCTCTGGCCCTGGACTCTGGGAACGATCGAGCTAACCTGTTGGCGAGAGCCCTTTTCCAAACGTAGAGACAAACAGTACTTAGACTACTTCCCCTAATTATCAAAAATAGTAATGGTACACAGCCTTGTGAAATGAAGACGTAAAGATAATCTATTTTCTAGGCCTCGTCCATACGTATCCGGATATTTTTGAATCCGCAACTTCTTTTTCTGTGGATACGGCTTCCGTCCACTCGTACCCGATGAATCCGGCATACGAATCCGCAACTTTCTGAATCCGCTCTCCAAGGTGGAAATTTTTGAATACGCTATGAATCAGGAATCGTGTGGACGCTAAATTCGGACATTTTTTTATCCGGTGACGTAACAAGATCGAGCCCATTTCTTTACCGTGAACATTGCATTCAAGATGGCAACCTTGTTCCCAGGTTCCCTCTATTACCCGTCTTTACGACGCATGCTTTGTTGCCAATATTCCCAGAGGAGTCATGGGTACTAGAGTCAATCCGGATAAGTGTCGGATACGTGTGGACGGGTAAATTCGATTTGAATACGGACACGTGAAGACGTTGAAATTTTTGAACCCGAAAATAAAAAGTTGCGGATTCAAACTGCATTTGAAAGACGAAAGAAACATAGTTAATTCTACCATTCCATTATATCTTCATTTCCTTAAATTTAGCTGTTTATTGATATTTTAATCGGTAACACCTGTACAAAATGGTAATACTGAATAAACTTGTTGTTGTTGTTGTTGTGTTAGAGCGCTAGCAGCTATATTAACACAAGATTGAATAGTAGGTCAGTTCCGATACTCGGAACGAGTCCAGCCTAACGATTAGTCTACTGAAATCATTATTAGTTCTTAATTTTGTCAGGAAATTCAACAAAATTGTCCTTATACATATTTTTGTGGGACTTGACCCTTTCATCATCATTTGTGAACAAACTTTATACATGCACATTGTTTTAGTACAGTCATTTTTTTTCGCCAGGAATCCAATAATGTCAATAAAACTTTAAATGGAGTTTTAAGTAAAGGGGGAAATTAAGCAGTTTTGACTGGTGCCAAAGAAAAATCATAATATTTTATTATATAAACACCAGTGAAATTCCAAGTGAGCTTTTTCGTGACGACATGGTACCTTAACTCACATCTTCAAAAGTGCAAAAATCTCCGTATGTTGTTACGTTACATAATAAATCGCTCCTTCTGCAGCAAAGAAATAATGTATAGTGAAATGGTTTGTTATTACATTGGTGTTGATTTAGTAAATAGAACATTAGATGGCCGCTTGGAGATAAAGAATCTCTCTTTTCGTGTTATAAAATATTTCAACACGAGAAGAGACATTTCGTATCTCCTCGCGGCCATATAATAACTTCGATTTAAGAGAGGATAAAGACGTGTCTGACTCGAGGCGCGAGCAATAACGAGGCAATGAATGATACCGTGATACTGGTGAAAAGCACAATAATAAACATTCTATCTAACACCATGGCAGCCTTTTGCCACTGCTGAGTGTTTGCATTCTTGGTCTTTTCAGCCTCAACAGAAAGTGCCAGGTGGTCAAGAAGGCCCAAGGCACGGCCATCTGCAAAACAACGAAATTGACAAAAACAAGGGATTTTAATAAATGAATAAATAAAGGAACGGATAAATGGAGGACTGGACGAACGAAGAATGGATGGGCAGGGGAGGTGGGAGGAATAAACGACGTGTAGAAGGATGGCAAACTGGTGGATGCATGGCTGGATGGCTTCCTACCTGGCTGGATGGATGGGTGGATGAATGGATGGGTGGTTGGATGGCTGGATGGATGGATGGATGGATGGATGGATGGATGAATGGATGGGTAGATGAATGGATGGGTAGATGAATGGATGGGTGGTTGGATGGCTGGATGGATGGATGGATGGATGGATGGATGGATGGATGGATGGATGGATGGATGGATGGATGGATGGATGGATGGATGGATGGATGAATGGATGGGTAGATGAATGGATGGGTGGTTGGATGGATGGATGGATGGATGGATGGATGGATGGATGGATGGATGGACGGATGGATAGATGAATGGATGGGTGGTTGGATGGCTGGATGGATGGATGGATGGATGGATGGGTGGATGAATGGATGGATAGATGGATGGATGGGTGGTTGGATGGCTGGATGGATGGATGGATGGATGGATGGATGGATGGATGGATGGATAGATGGATGGATGGACGAATGGATGGATGGATGGGTGGGTGGATGGTCGGTTGCGTGGGTGGGTGGGTGGATGGATGGATGGAAGGACGACTGAATAAATGGATGGATGTATCGATAGATTGGGGTGTTGCTGCTTGTACCAAATACCTTAGTCAAATTTAAAGGCTATTGATAAGGGCCTTTCGATTTGGGTATATTCAACATGAAACATCAATTCAATAGGTTATTAAAGGCAGGGATGTGAGGCTCTGGAAAAGTATTATGGGTACTTCCTCGTATCCCCTGCAGGATCTTCTCCCCCCACTTAAGAACAGGGCTCTACTTGGTAGGTCACATCCTTACCAGATCCCATGTGTTAATACAGAGAGGTTTAAGAAATGCTTTGTAAATAGACGTCTCTTTGATTCTAAGTAGATTGTAATTAAAACTTAGACAGTTGTGTCTTCATTTATAATGGAATTATAAGTTGTTTAAAACCTTGAATAAATACTTTTATTATTATTACTTTTTATTATTTTTGATAGATTGATGGACCGATGGATGGATGGATGAATGGATGGATGGTCGGATGGGTGAATGGATGGATGGATGGATGGATGGATGGATAGATGAGTGGGTGGACGAATACATCCATGGATAGATTGATGCACCGATAAATGGATGGATGGATGGTTGGGTGGACGAATAGATGGATGGATGGATTGTTGGGTGGATGAATGGATGGATGGCTAGTTGGCTGGTTGGGTGGGTGGATGGATGGATGGGTGGCTGGCTGGCTGGATGGCTGAATGTATCGATGGATGGATCGATCCATGGATAGATTGATGGACCGATGAATGGATAGATGGAAATGAATGGGTGGATAGTTGGGTGAATGGGTGGATGGATTTTGGATGGATAATTGGATAGTTGGGTAAGTGGGTCGATGGATGGATGCATGGATGGATGGATCGATGGATCGTTGGCTGACTGGCTCGATGGATAGATGGGTCGATTGATTGATGAAAGGACTCACAGACTAACAGGGTCTGGGCAAAAACATTTAATACCTGTATTTGATTCCTTTTCATTCGAGGAAACGACCAGCCCCTTGGACGGTTTTATTTCCTCAACTAAGCAACCTGAAATGTCGTTGCGTATTTTGTTAGCGCTTTGTCCGAACCCAGTTTCCTGCAAGTCCTCGCAAGGCGAGTAAGAAAACCATGACGATCCGGCAGAACACACCAAGGTTTCATCCGTCTGGTCTTGCGCATGCTCTGTGTTGCTGCATTTTCTAGAATTCAATCGTCGCTTTAAATTTATCTTTCCCTCCTTCTGAGGAGCAAAAGCCACTTTTCTGGGTTCTTCGTCTCCATTCACATTAGCGTTATTTTCATGATCATCCGGGAGAGAAAAATAGACAGTGGTCAAAATGTTATTGTCCTCGTCATTCATGTCAATGCTGGATATGCTACTGCCATATTCTAGAACCGACCTCTTTTCAGCCAATGTGAGGTTCCCTTCCACGTCTTTAGCGCTTGCTCCAGATGTCTGAGGGAGGATATTACTCGAGGAATTGCTGGTTATAGTGACAGCTGGATCTCTACCTGAAGTGGCACCTCGTTCGTCTTCTTCTTGTTTTCTTTCGGTTACTTTTTCTTGTTCCTGATCTTCAATTTCATTTAGATGGAAGCCTTTGAGAAAGAGCACATAATGGACCCTTAAATTATAATTTCGTAAGCTTTTCCTGACCAGGGAGAAACCTCACTGGTCGGTTCCCATCCCATGCCAGCCATCTTAATAATAGGATTATAACCTTTTGCACCGGGAGCAACTCGTATTCCTATGACAGGCTTATGATACTTTTACACGAGCGTTCCAGCCCAACACACTGCACTTGACACACAGATCGGCAGAAGTGCTGATTCGCCTTCCCCGCGCATGCCGTGGGAGAACTGTCGTGCGGTTCCCAGCTAACAGCTTCCACATGTGTTGTTTGGCTGGCGCTTAAAGGAGTGCTTTGTACGAGCCTGATCAGCAGCCAACTACCTCTGAATACGACGGCTTTACCATGCTGATGAGCTCTAATCTATGGGCGCTTTCCAAAGGTCAGAAATGGCCTATGGCCGGACCAGTCATTTTGATAACGAAATAAGCTTTTACTAAGAGTTTTTGGAGAAAAACCATGTCCTTCACGCATACTATGTAGGATTTGACTAATCTGGCTGGATAGTTTTGATTAAAAGTGAAATTCTCATTACAACGGGAATGATCTGGCCGGTCAGTTCTGACAAATGAAAAGCGCCTTGAGATACGACGTCCTTGTGTCTCGGACGCTCTCTCGCCCACACAGGCCTTTTTATGCCACATGGGACTGGACAGAGAAAAGAAAGAAAGCGCCCACGACTGGGGCTAGAAAGAAGCTCTACATGGCTGCGATTCTGTTTTGCCTGGTTCTCTCATGTTGGTGGCATACAAAACCAACTTCCCAGCGTAGTAGTCATGTTATCAGATTCAAAGTCTTCCACACAGTCTAACAGACTTAATAATTAGAAATTCCAAATCATGACCGTGAAAGTGACGCATGCAAGCCACGTATCTCATGTTACTTTTCAATTTGATTTTTCGTGATTTTTGTCCTTCGGGAACGATAAAAGCTTCATTGGGAGGCTACCCTTGATAGCCAGGGTCATTAATGAATAGACCAAAATTAAAGGAGTTTAGAATGTATTCCTACAAAGCAATATTGGCTGCTGCTGAAAGTAGACTAGTTATTTATGATTCACTAATGATAGTATGTACCTGTTTCCGTGGGATTAACTTTTGATGGAGTTTTTCGTAGATTCGGGCTTGACCGTCTACAAGGAGTACAACAGAGCAGCGGCTTTAACCAGCGAAGAATAAAATTCTGCAAACACAAAATCAAAAGACATTTTAAGTAGTTGATCTTTGCTACCTTAAGGAAACTTGCTCACTTTAATTCACGTATATTTTCCGCTATGAGAGTTGATGAAGATAGCCTCTGATCCTTACGGATGATGATCTGTTTACCAGGGTGGACGTATACCCTGCCCAGCGATACCGTAAACAGCTGTTTATAAGCCATGGGCTTGTAAATCTTCGTAAGGGGTTTTATTACGTCTTATGACCGGAGGAACTTACATACGAGGAGGCTTCTTGCGGAATAGAAAATGCGCTTCGAAACCAGCTGAAGCAGCGCTGATCAAAATACGTTATGCATTTTGTGTTTGATTACGCTTGGAAACGTCATAATAAGTCGAATTCAAGAAAGAAAAAGCAAAAAGGGAGCTAAAATCCGGGAGGCTTATAATTGGCTATATTTTTTGTTTATGGGCCTATAACTGGGAGGGCTTATAGGAGCCTATGAGCAACATTTTACGAAATTCCCATACAATCTCTTTTAATTCAAACATACGAACGGCTACACACTTTGTGTGGTCTCCCTGTGCCTACCTTAAGCCTTATTGCCATGGCCGCGTCATGTATTTCCAGTCCTGATGAGTTCATAAAGTACAGTGCGTACACCAGACAAGTGCAGCACATGGCCAGTACAAGAATGATTATCGCGCAGGCGTAGAACTTTGTCAAAAGAGGAAAAGCTGTTGAGGTGCTTGGCATTTTAGAATTCACGAGCAGCAGATAAACAGAAAGGCAGAGAAGTAAGTTAATGCCAGCCTCTGGGGAAAAAAACAAAACAAAACAAAAAGTAAACACTACAGCGTATTTGCACCGTTTGCTAGTAAGAGGGATTGCGTCTTGTCGACCAAATAAACTCAGTCTTCCATCAAAATGCACTAAAAGTAAGTTAATAATATTTCTTTATCCCGAAGTTCAAATATATGGAAATTATATGTTCATCATTTCATCGTCATCTTTCCCGGGCATATTTCCAACTAATTCAATGACCAGCTCCCAATTGGCTTCCTAGCTCAATTTGTTAGAGTCCTGCACCGGTATCGCAGAGCTGGTCAGGGATCAAATCCAGGCAAGCCTGAATCTTTTCAGGCTCTCTTTCCGCAACTGCACGAGGTGCGTCTTTAACTGTGATGATCTTCTCTACATTTTAATAGATATTTCGTTTCTCCACAACATGCGGGGATAAGGCTCAACTTCCCCAAAAGAACTCTATAAATCGTTGAGACGTTGCCCATTTTATACTAGATGCCTAAGTGCTTACAAAGTGAGTTTGGGATGCCTTTGATTCGACCGTATGATATCTGATGATTTTCCCTGCTTGCAGGCTTATATAATCAAACTTGCTACTAGTCGAACCCTCGTAAGTTCTTAAAAGCGAGCGAAGCAAGCTTCAATGAGGTCGCGCAGCGACCAAGTGAGCGACGAAGTCGAGCGGACGACTTGTTTCGCCTAAATGGATTTATAGCATAGCATAACTTCACGAGGGGGAAAAATATTTGACATATGCCGTTTCGATTAAATATCACTCACTCTCCCATAAAGCGTATTCACATGACTTCACGGCGGCCATATTGGTGTTCCAAAGCAATGAAACGGCGGCCATGATGGTGTTCCAAACAAATTCTGTGGGAGTTGATCTCTTTTCTTATGTAAAAAATTTCTTTCGTTCCCATAAATTTGCAAAGATGCTGGCCACGTGAGTGAATCGCTCTCAGATTGGTCAATTGTTTTGATTCCACGGTGGAATTTTCGACTTGTGAATTTCGCGCCAAACAGAAATAAAAAGTCCTTAAAAATGGCATAACCATGCAGGAAAAAAATAAAGGACTTTTATAAAATCTACCTACCATACTACAATAACAGGTAGTTGACGGCCAAGATTAGGGAGCTTAAGCAGCAACGTTTTTGAGCGACGCACGTCAACCGGAAGTGGCCTTTTTTCATTTTTTGACGGTGGTTTCGCGCAAATTTTCAGTCAAATCACCTCTATAACAGTAAAGAAGCTAAGGAATACAAATTTCATATCATCAAGGCATGTTAAGAGGGAAAATACCTCACTTCCGGTTGACGTGCGTCGCTCAAAAACGTCGCTGCTTAAGCTCCCTATTAGGGAACTGAAGCAACGACGGCGACGGCAACAAGGCCGGGGAAAAAGCAATAGGTTTAGATTGGCAAAACAACTTTGCAAGTGCATCATTCTATTTTTTGTACATTTCTTTGCCGTCGCTGTACGACTACAACGTGGAAGTGCCTAATTTCACGTTTTGTCGAGGATGTGAACACAAGAGAACAACTTTCTTTTTCTTTTCATGCACTGGGGGTGATACAGTCTTTAAGAATTCAACCACAAAAAAAAATTGCCAACATTTGATGAATTAAACAAGATGGAGTAAGGGCGATAAAATTTGAGACGACGCGAATTCACTAAATACGTGACGTTCTCGTAGCCTGTCGCCGTCATTGTGGCTTAAGCTCCCTGCTGTAGGCCAACCTACCCATTCGCTTTCCTACTTCCGGAGGAATAAGAAAAAGAAGCAAGGACAGTAAAGTGATGGCGACCGGCGGCAAAATATAGTTCACAACATAGAACAGCGATTTCCGCCGCACTTTGATGCTGTAGACTGCAGTGGAAAAAGGATTATCTTGCCAAGAATGACTCTGATCTAAAACCTCTCCATAGATGTGAAGAACATTCCACATGTTGTTTTTGGTTAATGGTGACAAGTCGATGCCGTCGCCTTCATTCAGATCAAGTTGCATCAAAGTATTGTCCATAGTCCAAGAGCCAAAGGTTATTTTGCATTCCTGGTCATCGAAAGGAAAGTCAGCGATATTCATTGCGCATGCGCTGTCGATGCGGACGGGTTGAGAGAAGAAGATACTCCCATTGTTGTCGACAACGACGCCCAACTCTAAATCATCTGGAGAAGAAACTCCAAAGTCTCTTAAAGTACCCACTCTAAAAATAAAAAATTGTACGCTGTGTTATCAAGAAGTGGCAAAAGAGCCGTTTGCGAGTGCAATCTATTTGTTTTATATAATGAACATTAAGGAAAAGTGATACTAAAACTCAATTGTTCAAAGGCAGTTTCAAAGTTTTTTCCTTTATATCTTACTAGTAAACAGGTTCTCCTTGACTTTTTCCAGGGATTTTACTCACTTAAAACAGATGGATCGCCAAAGCCTTTTAAGCTGTGAGTATCGTGCCAATGACACAACGCATAATGCTGTATAATATGATTTTGTACAGTGTGGGGTGGTATGATATGGTACGGTACAGTATGGTATATTTGCCCGATATTTCGGCAGTTTGCAAGAAGACCCTTTACATTTGGAATCAGTTTGTCGTCGACTTGACTTTTATTTCAACTTAAAACTGATTCCGATTTATAAGAGATCCTGCACCACCAGGAACCCTGGCACCATTAATTAGTTTGTTGTTTTGCAGCTCGGAGCAAGTCACTACATTGAAAATGGCCTGAAATGGGTTTAGGCACGGGCGCGGCTACCTGTACGCCAATACGCACCGGCGTACCTGGAAAATGTCGAAGATAATTCAAAACAAATTCATTATCTATCTATCTATCTATCTATCTATCTATCTATCTATCTATCTATCTATCTATCTATCTATCTATCTATCTATCTATCTATTTATCTACCTACCTATCTATCTATCTGTCTATCTATCTATCTATCTAACTATCTATCTATCTATCTATCTATCTAACAGAAAAAAGCAAAGGAAAGGAAGCTAAGGATAGCTGAGAAAACGCTGGAACTGCCGAATGCACCTTTAATTTTCTTCAAACAACGGAAGGTGTTTCCACCCGTATTTACCCCTGACTGTAAAGTCTCAACTACTACCTGAAGTACATGGTCCTAAGACCAAGGTAGAAGATTTACTGACCACACTGATAAAAAAAACAATCAAGTCACCCACGTGAAAAAGACTTGGGAGACAGGGTAGTGTTGATCAGAAAAACTCAGTGTGGGTACCTCTTGAAAACTCCTGGCCTGGTTTACGTCCCACCTCTTTGTTAAGAAGGTAAAACATTAGCCTCGGTTCCGGGCGTTTAGACCCCCTCGCCCTTTACGTTTTTCCTGCGTACTTCTCTTTGCGTCATTCCCATTATCTGAACGCCTGGAACAGGCCAATAAAACGTTTGAAAGGCTACAAATTAAATGCACTTACGCGGAATATAGTACCATATCTGGAGTCCATATATTCCTAAACTTCACTGTCAATGACGTTACGCTGTACTGGGACAAGTTCCATCGCAGTCTGTCGTCTATCCAGACCTAATTGCAAAGTAATCATGACGCTAGTTGGTCTTAGACTGCGAGCAATCTCTTATTTTTCTTTTCAACATTGCTGGGTGAGCCCTGGTAACAAATACACACGAGCGGCGAGCGCGCGGGCCAGCTGCAAATCCCCGAGCCGCAAGAAACAGGGACGTAAGTATTTCTCCCTTTTTTATTGTTTTACGAACGTGCAGTGCAGGCTAGGATTACACGGGGAAAACTTGAAAGATTATAAGTTAAAAGGTGGACGGCAAGCAGTCTAAGTTAGTTTTAGTTTAAAAAGAAAGAGCAAACTATTTTCCAGTTTATTTCTTATTTTGTATTCTTTCCCCTAACGCGAAAATGCTATTTGTTCTGCTAGTTGTTGTTAATCTGTTGAACTTTCGTATTTTGCTTTTTTTGCTCGTCTGTTTGTTTGTTTGTTTCTTTTACTGTTTTGCCTCCTTTTTATTTGCTGCCCTGTATAATCATAGTTATCTATCGCAAGAACCATCCACCCTTACCCCTCAATTGCTACCTGTACGCCTAGCAAACATATCGAACTCACTCTCCTAAGCTCCAATTACTCCTAATTGTAAAGTTTATAGTAATGTTATACACCGAATGCAAATATGGCGGACCTTTCGGCCGGCCCGGGTCTAGTTGCGCGAGAGCGAGGCTAGTTAGGCCTCGAGAGTTTTGTTTTGACTGCACGTCTTAGCGATTGAGCCGATCGATATGGTTTGCATCGAGTTGTTGCATGCCTGAGGGCCACCAAAAAGAAGATTTACTCTAGCTGGAATAGCCTTTACTTTCCCAAGATCTTTTCACAAAGAAACTTAAGGATTCATGCGATTCGGCGCGGCGATGGGGAGCACTTTACAGCGAAACTGTGCTCGCTCACTTGCTTTAGATGAGAAGACTCACGAAAGTATTTGAATGAAATAATTTTCACAAGAGATGGTGCTGTTCCAAGATGTTTGCATGGTCTGTTATTTATCCAACAAAAGGTAAACATTCTCGAGAACGGGAGCATCCGCGGTGGACCGTAAAATCTTTTAGATTTCACGCTGAAAACAGCTGCATTAAAATATAACAACAACAATAACAATCGCCTGTTAATCCTACAAGCGTGGCCTGTGAAACTATGTAAGAACCAGAAGAAAGCGATATATTTCAAGAACAGTCCTTGACCAAAATGCACTGAAAAAACTAACGGAGGAACCGTTGCCAACTAAGAAAGTAAGAAGAAGAAAAAAGGTTCTGGAAGAAAAAGAGCGTGCAAGTATTCAAGCATTGTATTTGACCTTGCGCGTGATCTATTTTAGCAACTTGTCGAATGGTTTCGAGATAAACTAACAGCGATTTTCCAAAAATTGCTTCTTTTATGGCACTGCTCAAACTCTTGAACACAGGATGGTGAAGACTGTGAAAAAACATTCGCCCTTGTTGTTTGTCGTTGTGTCCCTGAGAGCGCCTAAAGATTGGTAAGTCGCGACGGCGGATTCACTCGTTCTCGAGAATATTTACCTTTCCTTGGTAAGAGAACGGACAAAGCAAACTTGAAACAGAACCATTAATCTTTCAGTTATTCACCCATTCTAATAGTTTCGTGAGTCTTCTCTTCTGAAGTGAAGCGAGCACACTTCCGTTCTTTTAAAAAATAACTCCGTGATAGTAGAGTGCCTTCATTCGTCGCGCCGAATCGCTTGAATCCATTTCTTTCTTCGTAAAGAACTTTGGCAAAGCGAAGATAACCAACTTTCGTCTCTGCTGGAGTTAAATCTCCTATTTGATGGCTCTTAAGCACGTAACAACTCGAAGGAAACCATATTGATCGACTGAATCGCTAAGACGCGCAGTCAAAACAAAACTATAGAGGCCACACTAGCCTCGCTTTCGCGCAACTAGACCCGGGCAGGCCAAGAGATCCGCCATATTTGCATTCGGTGTATGTTAAATGATGTTTAAGAATAAATTATTAAAAAAAAATTATTTTTCTTCTTTCCCCTAGAGCGAAAATGATCCGATGAGAGCAAGCCCTTAGCAGCTCAAGCCCTGGGGGAGTGAGGGATAGCTACTACATCAACAAAAGCAATTCACATCTCGTCAGCTCTGCCTCAAGGCACACATCTTTTGATGACAAGTTCACAGTAATGTGCGCGCACTGCCCAGCTAAGATCCTTTGAGGGGTACACACCACTGACGTTTTGACGATTTATTTGAACTTCTATGATCATTTATTAAAACTCAATACCTTACTTTACCTTACTTACCATTCGAAACCAGACGTTTAAACCGATTTTTTCCTTCTTTGGATCCTGTATTCAAAAAATACAACATTTATATTACCTCTCTTAGTATATACGCAAGTTGTGATTGAACAGTTCTACAGGCCGTATTCTAAGGCCCACTAAATTTTAAAGTTTCATATCCGGAACATCCGATTAACCTCAAAGATATAACAAATATTACTAACCTAGTTCTAGGTCTATGCTGTACCTTTAAGCGCCATCTAATAACCTGCGTGCAAACTCATGGGAGGGGGAGAGGGGGAGAGGTGGATGGTCGTCTCCCCACCCCTGCTTGAAAAAAACGAGCATCGTAACTTACAGTAAGGACCTCGAATTCAGGTAGCAAGAGATATGATGCACTCATCCTCTTCTGACACACTTTCCTAAAGTCGCTGATGGTCCCTGCATTCTTTTACATTTACGCGTTTTGCCCTGATCTTTCGTGCTTCACTCCTATACTCACCACAAGTCTTTCACAATTCCACTTGAGGGCGAATGTATTTCGCCCAACAGTGGTGTTTGTTCACTGCGGAAGTCCCACTGAGCACTGTATCATCATATTGTTTATGAAAAATAACCGCGAATTCTTTCATTGAAAAAAGGAAACAAAAATGTAGTTCATGGAAACATGAAATACGGCGACTTAGCATGGTTTAGCATGCGGCTCCCACAAATCTTCAAAGCACAAATTTCTTCTTTAAAAAGATATAACACAGACATTTCTCGAAGGTGTTTATTCTGAGTGAGCGGGAATGTAGTGATCAATATACTTGATTTTTGGATCTGAAGGATTATGTTGAATTGTGGATAATATTCACTCACCACACTGTCAAGATTAACAAAGGCTATGTCAAGAGAAATCTTTACTGGTGTTGAAGGCCGCAGATCCTTGCTGTAGTTTGAGAAAAGCTTTTGCATCAGTTTCCATTCGTCAGATCTGTTCATTTCTAGAGAATGATAGAAAATTATCCCTTGAAACACCTGCCACTGAGCAATGCTGGCTCGCTCCTAACTCAATCATGCAACAGATCAGAAATGTAGAAGGCATTTTGCTTCCGTTTTGACAATACATTTGGTCATCGAATGACCTTATAGACTATTTACTGTGCCGATTCATGCACACTTATAAACTGAACCTCTTATCACATCACGAGAAATTTCAGTGCAGCAAGCTTGATAATAATTATGCACCATAAGGTGACCCTTAGAAAATTCAAGTCACTATTGTCATTGTTTTTTTTATCATAGTTCACATGATCCAAGACACCCTTGAAGGTCGTATTTTGGCCCCACCCTCCTAACCCTCGCACCTTCCCGTAATTACCTGACTATCTTGGTTTTCCGTCCTTCCTTTTGCTGTAAGTTAGTGTCGCGGTATGATACTATTCCGTAAAATAAACCTTTCCCACTTTTTTTCCGCATCGTGGCTTATTATTCAACCATAACTTAACTTCATTTGCTCATGTTATCTTTAAGTTATATACCTTTGGCAACGTTACAGCTTTTAAGCGGCAAAAACTCGCCTGTATCTTTACTGGGCGGTAGCAGAAAACCGAGACATGTGCAAGGACACAATGTTTTCGTCTGTAACATGAACGCTGGCATTCTTAACCAAGTATTCTAACAAACTATAGATTTTTCTTCTTCGAAGGAACAGCTTGCTAACGAACAGGATACAACAACTCCGGCAGGTGTTTTTAGCGGGGCGAGAAAGAAAAAAAGATTCTTTTAATCTATCGTGAACGAAGGAAATACCTCTAAAAATGCACCAGAATTTAATTCGACTCATGCAGTTAGGAACTTTCTTTTTAGTCCCTAATTCTAGATGACACGACTCCAAAGTTCTGTAAGTGTGGTGAGAACAGGATGAGTTTAATATTAATTCTGGTGAGAGGCTGCATTGCAGTGTGCTCAGGGCTACTGTTACTCTCAGGGTGGTTTTATTTTTATTGCTCTCAGTGTACTCAATGGTTTTCATATCTGTGTAGGTGTATGAAAACCATATAGCAATTCGAATGATCATGTTATCAATCATTGTTGAACAGCGGTTCCTGCGGTTGCCTTCTGTTTCTTGTGCTAAAGACCGAATTCGGTTTTAATTTTCGAGCTCTACGCGCTGTGTTTCAAAGAAAAAAAGCAACTTTAAATTATCATCTTTTAAGGCAATATTTCATATGGCACCGTTTGCTTCGGGTATTTTTAACAAGGAGTTCGGAATTTTCACTTCCTGAAAGTATGATTGCTTTTGAACCGTGACTGATCGGTTCAGTAATAATAAGATGCGCGCCGCAAAAGATGATAACAGGACATCAAGTATCATCTCTTGATGTGTGCTGGAACCTTATTGATGCGGAAAAAGCGAGTATGAATCATTAGCGCTTGGGAAAGTTAGTTCTGTATGGGCTCCAGATATTTCATGCCTAACCCCGACTCACCGATACTTTAAAACACTGACCTTGATCTCCATATACTGCCAGCAATACTGCAAAAATAATACCACCGAGAAAAAATAGATTTATCTGCATGTTGAACGCTTCACTGCGTGGCTAAAATGTTTTTAACCTCACGGAAGGTCCACTAAAAGCCTTTTAGTTTCTTAAAAGAACTGTTTGTTTTTACTTTAATTTGTGACGTCTTAACAGGTGGTATATTGAGGCAATATATAGGAAAGAAAACGTTATCAATCCTTAGCAAGAGGAAAAATTAGCATCGGCTAGATATGACTATTTTCAGTCATGTCCAAATTGTTTATCTACTGCAAACCAACAAATAAACATAATAAAAATTGCAGATTTTAGATATTTAGAACAATTTCAAGAATATCAAACTTTGATCTCAAGCTAAAAGATATCATTGCAATGATGGTAAGCTGAGTCAGTCTAAAATAGCGAACCAGTAAGAGAACGCCTTATAATCCATATGTTCAAGGAACCAATCAGAACGTGGGTTATGTTTTCCCGTAGTTCAATTTGCGCTGGACAGATTCAGAATATTTAGACTAGGAAAAATGTTTAGAGAATGTAGCTTTTTTTATCGTAGTTTAGAATTTCTTCTCAGGCCGTTTTAGATCCTTTTAACTTTTCCGGACAAGAACAAAACCCGAATAAATAATTTGTGAGCAATTTCTTATAAAAACATCTTGGAGGAGTCTAAATTATACAAAATTAATTATGAGATGAATAATTTATTGAGGTATATAAAAAGGGACTTCCAGCTCAAGTCCCAAAGCGGACAACCCTTGCAGTGCAGTTATTCCCAGTCGGTGTAGTTAGAAAATATCATGAGTGCCATTTCTATCACCGCTCGCTTCTTCGGTCTTTTAATAGCCAAAGACGGTGTTGACCTCTAACTACCTCTGGCTAGCCTTGAAGCATCCCGCAGCACGCAAGAAAATTCTGTTACCCAGTGCAGTTATGTAACTGTTCTTGAAACGTACTCTGCAAATTTTCGTTTGAGTGTTAAAAACAAAGGTTACAGAAAAACGTACGCGCGTCGTCGGACGATATCACTGAGTGAAGTTCATCAAGGCACATCCGAGAGGCGTCAGAGTTTTTTAATCCCACAACCCTACCCAAATTTTCGCTCAATCCGGTAATCCCGATTCGGTATACAGAATCCGGTACATACGTTCAATCCCGAAACTCGCTTCTATGGCTTTAAAATCTTTAAATAAGGCAAATCCCTCGCTTGGGCCCTATATATTGTTCGCAACTGTTAGTTAAATACTAGCCTTATGCTGAAATCCGACCTGGAATAGTTAAATTTGGGTAAAAAGACGCATCCGGAAATGCTGGACACCAAACAGATGGAACTTAAAACAGTTACAAAATGAAATCCATAATGTGTCAGTACAAACTCTGGCCATCATGATCATGAAACGTAGTTGCCCCGATGAAAATAGACTATCGATCTGTATAGAACTTTATACTCTTTGGTTGATGTAAAGAAACAGCCAGAGTGAACATTACATCGTACCGTTGAAAAGTACTGCCCTGTCACTCGTTCTCACTGAACATTACAAGGCAAGCAGGAATGAGCGCAAACTGAAGGCTTCCCAGAGTCTCTGCAGTTTTTTTTAACTGAGCCACTAGCTTAGTGTCATATATGTATATATATATATAGCCAAGGGTTTCAAAACACAACGGTGAGGAAAGCGCTTTTCCTTTTTCTTTGTTTAAAAAAGTAGTAGATCTTCGTCATTTGAGTTGATAAATTAAGGATGTATTCAGTCAAACAACTGTGAGTTTAATTAACGCATCTTTATCGCCCCAAGACATCTAGCATTTATGAAATAATAGTTTATCTATCTTTTGCCGGTCTGATGCTACTTTTAAAACTCAGTAGTTTCTCGAATAGTTGGTTAATTCGCAGCTGATCGCATTAACTAAGCGAAATATGTCACCAAGGGAAGAATAAAAAGACTTATTTTCGTCACATTTGTGTTTTACCTGGCGACAGATTTAGGACTGCGATGAAAGTCATTCCCTTCACTGCACGCGGATGATTGATAACCTTTTATATCAAAGTTCACTTTGGGTTTGTTGAATTGAAAACAAGTTCACATTCAGCCTTAAAGTGAAACTTCTGGTCTTAATCTCGCGAAAATTCTTGTAAGGTTTACTTTCCTTAACTTGAGAGCAATTATCTTAACTTATTTTAATGCACCTGTCAGCTAACACATGGCATTCGATGTCTTTTTAGCAAAGCCATGTTTTCACCATGCTTTGTTTTGGATGCTAATAATAATTAGAATAACAATAAATTATATATAATGAAAATAATAGCAACATAAGTGTGGCCGTGCTAATAGCACACACACAGCGAAACATAACTCGTGAATTGTTTTCGGAAATACGACTTATTCATGTATATTGTCCTTTCTTTTGCTGTGTTTCTAAAAAGGCGGACGAAATGAAACGCTGAACGGAAGCGAAAGCGGTTTTTTATCGTTATCTGTTAATCAGTAAAACAACTTGATCGTTGATATGTACTTACAAAATAATAAAATTAGGCTATATTTATATTTAAAAAAGGAGTACAAGCGATGGCGTGTGACTAATTATCAGTTGCCGAGGGGGAATAATCGAGAAAGCTAAGTTTAAGATGCAACTTGTGGGGAGCGGAATCTCTTTAACCCTTCCTAAAGGGTAGAGGTTCTAGGTTGCTTTCCCTGAGGAAAAGACATGCTTCAGTTGCACGGACAACGATTGAGGCCAGAGAGAAGACAAAGGCGTCTTACTGACCCTAACTGCTTGTACTACGGCTACGGAGACTATTCAAGAACTAGAACACCATGTGTTCAATCTGGTCGCAGCCGACGGCGAAGCGATCGTACAAACGGAATTACAGCAAACGTCAGCGGGAAAAAGTTCTTTTTCACCACCAGATTACTAGCCAAATATCCACAAAGTCTTCTGGGTCATAAACACAAACGGAAATATTTTTACGACTGCATACGGGACGAATACTTTTTTGACCGGAACCGAACAGCTTTCGAAAGTATTTTCAATTTTTATGTTTCTCGGGGAACCCTCGTGGTTCCAGATGAAAGCTTCCCGGAACAGCTTTTAATGGATGAGTTCTACTTTTTTGGACTATACGAATACGTAAGTGATAATGACAAAAAAAGCTTAATCACTCCAAGAGCGTTGAAAAAGAGACAAATCGCCCCCAGAAGAAGGTGTCAAAGAGAAGTTTGGAAAATCAGCGAAAATCCTGACTCGAGTGTCCTCGCCCGTCTGATAAACTTGTTTTCTTTACTTGTTATCATTTTTTCAGCCATCATTCTTTTCGTTGACACTCTACCAGATCCGCGAAGATCAGAATCTTCGACATTCAACTCACCGACGCCAACCAAAAATTCTAGCAATGCGAATACCTCTGCCACAAATCCAAACTACGAACAGTTCCCGCAGATCATATCAGCCATGGAGTCATTTTGCATTGCATGGTTTACTTTGGAACTCCTTACGAGATTCTTTGTATCACCAGAAAAAAAGAAATTCTTTCTCCAAGCGCTAAACCTCATCGATCTGATAGCTATCGTTCCGTTTTACATCTCCTTGATTATAAGCACGCGTATGTCTGCTGCGCAGTTGTACATCATGCGGATCCTAAGACTTTCCAGGGTTTTCCGTGTTTTAAAAATCTCTCGGTATGTTTCAGTAATGAAAGTGCTTGGATTAACAGTCAAGGCGAGTGTTAACGATTTTTGGACAATGGGCTTTTTAATCTTAATTGGCACTGTTTTATTTGGTAGTACAACTTATTACTGTGAGCAGTGGGACGCGGACACCAGTTTTAACAGCATTCCTACAGCCTGCTGGTGGGCTTTGGTCACCATTACAACTCTCGGTTACGGTGATCTAGTACCAACAACCTTCGGTAAGTATGCAACTCCTCACCTTTCAATGCTCGAGTTGTTTGAAGAATTGTCATACTTAATTACCCAAGATTTATAGTATTTTCAATTAGCATTATTTACTTGATTCATCAACCTCGTCCCCACGGCGCTTTTCCCTAGCTTTGCAAAAGCGCCATCGGGACGAACTTGTCGGAATCATTTAATCAGAGTTTAAAATGATCTCTTTTAGGACTCAAACAAAGGTTGGGCCACGCCCAGATTGGTCTCCTTTAGGGTTTTAATTCAAAATTTCCGACAAGCATCCTGCGAAGTAATCCGCTTTCTAGATCGGCGCGGAGCCTGAGCTTCGCTGCGTTACAGAAACCGCTCCGAGATCACTGTTCTTTTTTTTTAATATGCGAACTGAAAGAGAACTAATTTCCGATATGGTATTATGCAGCGTAAGAGGTTTCGGTATGGTGTAGACAAAGTCTTAGTCAGTGTGGTTTTCTTGTTGTTGTTTTTTAGGAGGCAAGATAACAGGAGGCATGTGTTCGGTCTCAGGGGTCTTGCTAATTACACCTTTCCTGCCAATCATTTTCAACAAGTTTAATCGGTTTCAAGAGCTGGAAAAGGAATCTTCTTCCGTAGCAAAGAAAGACAAGAGCTACCCGCAGATTATACCAGTTTATTCACAATATGAGGTCAACAAAAAATATATTAAACGAAAAATACGACGAAGATATACTATGTAAAACGTTCACAAAGTCCTACGCTCCTACTGCTAAATGTTCTTGGACTCACTTGAATGATATGAACTTTAACACATCCAAGTGTAAAGAAATAACTTTTCAAAAGAAGAACAATACTACTCAGGGGCACCCAACGACTGCTTTCTGCAAAATATCTTTCGGGGAAGCAGATTTGGTCTACAATTTTCTACTACTCTTGAGGACGGCTAAAAATTTCTAAATAACCGTTCCATTTGTGTACAAGTTTCGAAGCTTATCTAATAAATGTCCTATGATTTTCTTACGTTTATTTTTTCATATTTCTCTCCGGGTTAGGCTGTTTTTCGTAGCAAAAGGAAACCTAAAATTTTCGGATTTAAAAATGCGATGGAGAGAGAAATCAGAAAAATTCTCACTTTGTGATACGTTAAATTGCATCTTAACTTTTTGGGATAGTAAAACTGAAGCCCTTGCAATTTCGAAAAGACTCAACTTCCCCTAGGAT